AGATAAAGTGTTCGGGAGATAATATACCTCCCGAACACACCCCCTTTCCCGGGGGGGGGGGGGAAAGTTAGTTGTCGATGAATGTTTGGTGTGAAGTGCTTCTGCTATGTCCGCTCTTCAGTGGTCACCATCTGTCTGATAGGTTAAGTAATAATTGTAAATATGAAGCAATAAGATGCTTATCTTGACATACTAAGAAGGTTAGGTGAGGTCGGTGTTTTCTATGAAGCTTTTCAAGGTAAACTAAAATATTCACAATTAATTAATATGTCACGTATGCACTTATTAAATAAGCCAATATTGACAAAAGCAAGTGGGAGAACGGGTTGGATTATTTTAGTGGTCTGGCTGTATGTAGACTCCATGTGATTTTTAATGGAGTGGTCATGGCTCTATCAGGTCACTTGAAAAAAAATGTTATAGGCCTATGCATTTGAGAGCACTGGGGGGGGGGGCGCTGACGTTCCATAAGTGGACATGTAAAGGTTTAGATGTCATTCGTCTTATGCATATAAACCCGTAGGTACGAAGCCCAGTTGGCGACGATTTTTTTTATTCAGAAGTTCATTTATTATGCACCCCATACCCATTCTGTGGGCGGTAGTGCACCCCAAACCCATCCTGTGGGCGGTAGTGCACCCCAAACCCATCCTGTGGGCGGTAGTGCACCCCAAACCCATCCTGTGGGCGGTAGTGCACCCCAAACCCATCCTGTGGGCGGTAGTGCACCCCAAACCCATCCTGTGGGCGGTAGTGCACCCCAAACCCATCCTGTGGGCGGTAGTGCACCCCAAACCCATCCTGTGGGCTGTAGTGCACCCCAAACCCATCCTGTGGGCGGTAGTGCACCCCAAACCCATCCTGTGGGCGGTAGTGCACCCCAAACCCATCCTGTGGGCGGTAGTGCACCCCAAACCCATCCTGTGGGCGGTAGTGCACCCCAAACCCATCCTGTGGGCGGTAGTGCACCCCAAACCCATCCTGTGGGCTGTAGTGCACCCCAAACCCATCCTGTGGGCGGTAGTGCACCCCAAACCCATCCTGTGGGCGGTAGTGCACCCCAAACCCATCCTGTGGGCGGTAGTGCACCCCAAACCCATCCTGTGGGTGGTAGTGCACCCCAAACCCATCCTGTGGGCACCACTGCACCCCATACCCATCCTGTGGACGCCAGTGTACCCCATACTCATCCTGTGGGCGCCAGTGTACCCCATACCCATCCTGTGGGTGGTAGTGCACCCCAAACCCATCCTGTGGACGCCAGTGTACCTCATACTCATCCTGTGGGCGCCAGTGTACCCCATACCCATCCTGTGGGTGGTAGTGCACCCCAAACCCATCCTGTGGGCACCACTGCACCCCATACCCATCCTGTGGACGCCAGTGTACCCCATACTCATCCTGTGGGTGGTAGTGCACCCCAAACCCATCCTGTGGACGCCAGTGTACCCCATACCCATCCTGTGGGCGCCAGTGTACCCCATACCCATCCTGTGGGTGGTAGTGCACCCCAAACCCATCCTGTGGGCGCCAGTGCACCCCAAACCCATCCTGTGGGCGCCAGTGCACCCCATACTCATCCTGTGGGCGCCAGTGCACCCCCATACCCATCCTGTGGACGCCAGTACACCCCAAACCCATCCTGTGGGCGCCACTGCACCCCAAACCCATCCTGTGGGCGCCAGTGCACCCCAAACCCATCCTGTGGACGCCAGTGTACCCCATACTCATCCTGTGGGCGCCAGTGTACCCCATACCCATCCTGTGGGCGCCAGTGTACCCCATACCCATCCTGTGGGTGGTAGTGCACCCCAAACCCATCCTGTAAGCGCCAGTGCACCCCAAACCCATCCTGTGGGCGCCAGTGCACCTCAAACCCATCCTGTGGGCGCCAGTGCACCCCCATACCCATCCTGTGGACGCCAGCGCACCCCAAACCCATCCTGTGGGCGCCACTGCACCCCAAACCCATCCTGTGGGCGCCACTGCACCCCAAACCCATCCTGTGGGCGCCACTGCACCCAAACCCATCCTGTGGGCGCCACTGCACCCCAAACCCATCCTGTGGGCGCCAGTGCACCCCAAACCCATCCTGTGGGCGCCACTGCACCCCAAACCCATCCTGTGGGCGCCAGTGCACCTCAAACCCCATCCTGTGGGCGCCAGTGCACCCCAAACCCATCCTGTGGGCGCCACTGCACCCCAAACCCATCCTGTGGGCGCCACTGCACCCCAAACCCATCCTGTGGGCGCCAGTGCACCCCATACCCATCCTGTCGGCGCCAGTGCACCCCATACCCATCCTGTGGGCGCCAGTACACCCCAAACCTATCCTGTGGGTGGTAGTGCACCCCATACCCATCCTGTGGGCGCCAGTGCACCCCGAACCCCATCCTGTGGGCGCCAGTGCACCCCAAACCCCATCCTGTGGGCGCCAGTGCACCTCAAACCCCATCCTGTGGGCGCCAGTGCACCCCAAACCCATCCTGTGGGCGCCAGTGCACCCCAAACCCATCCTGTGGGCGCCAGTGCACCCCAAACCCATCCTGTGGGCACCAGTGCACCCCAAACCCATCCTGTGGGCACCAGTGCACCCCAAACCCATCCTGTGGGCACCAGTGCACCCCAAACCCATCCTGTGGGCACCAGTGCACCCCAAACCCATCCTGTGGGCACCAGTGCACCCCAAACCCATCCTGTGGGCGGTAGTGGAAAAGGGGGGTTTACAGAGCCACAATAATGGGCTCAGGGACTGAGCTCCCCACAAAATTAATTTAGGCCAGCAAGTTATACAGTGTTGATGAGGTAGTTGTGTGGGTGGCGTCGCCTAATTTTAAGCCACAGTGTTGTCATTTATTCTCTGCAAAACACGCCTAATTGTTCCTCTTCGTCAGTGTGACTCTAGCTCCTCAACCCCCGCATATCCAGTCTCACGTGAATGCTTTGAAAACATTCACACCTTCAAGAGAATCAATATTTACGAAAGTTTACCGCCATCTATACGACAGTGGCCCCCCCTCTCTCTCTCTCTCTCTCTCTCTCTCTCTCTCTCTCTCTCTCTCTCTCTCTCTCTCTCTCTCTCTCTCTCTCTCTCTCTCTCTCTCTCTCTCTCTCTCTCTCTCTCTCTCTCTCTCTCTCTCTCTCTCTCTCTCTCTCTCTCTCTCTCTCTCTCTCTCTCTCTCTCTCTCTCTCTCTCTCTCTCTCTCTCTCTCTCTCTCTCTCTCTCTCTCTCTCTCTCTCTCTCTCTCTCTCTCTCTCTCTCTCTCTCTCTCTCTCTCTCTCTCTCTCTCTCTCTCTCTCTCTCTCTCTCTCTCTCTCTCTCTGTGTGTCTGTCTGTCTGTCTTGATGAGTCTTGATCGCATTTTGGACAAGAACCTTATGCTTCTAGTTCACCTGCTTCTGATAAATATAAATTCATTTAGTAGACCTACGTGCTTTACTCTTTACAAATATAACTCCTTTATCAACATTATATATCTGAGTTTACCTGAGAGCCACTAACACTAGTGGCTTTGATGGGGACAGGAAGCCGGCGGCTTGTTGAAGGCCCCCCCCACCCCCACTCTTTGATGATCTTTTCCAGTTAAATATCTTTATCATTGACAGGTAGGCCTAATATACCATATCTCGTCCTTAATTCTCTAACAAAATATAATGTTAAGTTACCGTTAGTTTATACAATTGTCAATGTTAGATCACCGTTAATTTATACAATTGTCAATGAATGCAGTTAAAGGCCTACAATATTTTCAGGGGGAATATTATTAAACCAATGTATAATATTCATGAAATTATTTTAAAATGATTTGTTTTTATCATTATATTATAAAATATTATTTGAATTATAGGGTACACGAGCATTTACGCGGGGACAGGTTGAAAGTTAATATACAAATGGAATTGACTGAGAAATAAGGTATATTTCCTGCCTGAAATGCTATGCATGCATGCTAGTGACTTTACAAGAATGTATAACTTCAATGCTCTGTACTCCCATAAATCCAATATACAAGAAAGTATAACTTCAATGCTCTGTACTCGCATAAATCCAATATACAAGAAAGTATAACTTCAATGCTCTGTACTCCCATAAATCCAATATACAAGAATGTATAACTTCAATGCTCTGTACTCCCATAAATCCAATATACAAGAAAGTATAACTTCAATGCTCTGTACTCCCATAAATCCAATATACAAGAAAGTATAACTTCAATGCTCTGTACTCCCATAAATCCAATATATACCTTCTTGTATATAAATATACTTATTTATTTATTTATATAAGTGTAGGCAGCTTCCACCCACACAGCTTGATACGCACATGTGATAGTGGCTATATATTCACTAGGATATCTCAAATACGATTTTCTTACGGGCTATTCATGCCCGTGCCACCTCTTGGGTGGCTTAATCATTATCAATCAATCAATCAATCAAATACGATCAGAGGCGGGACCCAAAAGCTGAAGCTCAGCGCCCGGAAGAATGCAATCTCCATTCACAACTTTTAACTTTAGATTTGATAAAGAATTGTGTCGACGGAAAAGTTAAATTAAAATTTAACGCAACAGGTGTAACAAGGCTAACTAGCGAATTGAAATAGATGTAATGAGGGATAAAACACACATCAAAGGAGGAGGTTGCTTAAGCTATTCTCACCCTCGTTCAATACAAAGTGTTCATTTACACACACACGCACATCACAAGCAATGAACATATTACTGAACATTCGGCCAGTTATTCCCTCACTCCCTTGTCAGCGTATGGAAAGCCACATTAGTTTCTGCCTGAAACGCTGCGCGTACTAGTGGCTTTACAAGAATGTAATTACTATGCTATGTATCTTTCACAATCCTAATGTACCTTCTTGTATATTTATATATATAAAATAAAAATAAAATAAAATTAGGTAAGCACCATTCGTCAGAGCGACCATAGAAAATGGTTCGTCTTGGCATCATTGAAAACGTGAAGGATCGATCAGCTGACCCGCAGTAAACACTAGAACAGGTGTCGGTGCAGACTGACAGCTCCAGGAGGACGCGAGTAGGAAGCCCGTCGTGAAGATTAACATTTAAGAATTCAGCGGTCACAGCGTTTAAGACATCCCAAGATTGCAGATACATCAGTTAAGGGGCAGGTTAGAACGTCTATATTGAAGGCCAGCTTGTGTTACATCATGGGAAACGGGAGGAGACAATCCAGTGGCTCTGACTGGCAGTTCGGCAGTTGTGTTTAGCATAGTTTTGGAAGTAACATTTCACTATTGTTGTAAAATGCTTTGTAATTACTATAAATTTTGAATGTACACTTCAATGTTGTTCTATTATGTGTACTGTACACGAAATAATTAAATATTGTACAGTACATGTATTTGAATTGGACGTTAAAAAAATGTTCGGCATTTTTTTTTTTTTAAGAGCAGTTTGAGAATTGCCTGCATTATAGTTTTATTAATGTGATAATTGCAGTGTTGGAAACAAGACTCTCGGTGAATTGCTCTTAGTTTATATGGATGCAAGAGTATGGCATGCTGTGCTATTTTGATACAATGTCCATGGGACACTAAACAAAATTTGATATGGTATAAATCTAACTGGGTATGTCATAATGGGTACTAAAAAAACGGATCACAGTGGATAATGTTCAAGCACTCCTAGTCAGATTAAGTACAATTGGACTCGACCTGCATATTTATATATAGCTCGGTCTGTCGGTCTGTCCTTTCGAGTTGTCACGAAAATAATGTACTGGATTGCCTGAACTTGACCAAGGACCACACGAGTAGAAAATGTGACAGCCCATCAATTTTGCGAGCTGCTATGACTTGGAATACGTCATATTTTGGCCACTGGAGATTTATATAGTACAGTACTGTGATCTACTTCTGAGAGGACAGGTTAATAAGAATATACTTGATTAAACAAAACAAAAATCATGTAGTGAGCATAAAAGCACCCTACAAAGAATGATGGGCAGAGATCAAAGTACTGTGACACTTATAACAATAATTTGAGAAAATATGGCCAGAGAATTCTTGTTTAATTAATTTTTTTTATTACTCTTTTGAAGAATCTAAAGTGTGTATCTGAATGGTCCTCAATTGTTCATACTCAAGTTTTTATATTTGCAGTGTTTCTCGTGTAAATGCAAGGATATTAATTTGTCTTCCATCATTTTTCAGATAATTCTTGCATTTTTATCATAAACACATTTACCTAACCATATACATGTACAGTATAAATATATTTGATTTTTGTATATCTTGATTCGCTATATCTTCTGATATGCTACTACATATTTATATTCATCAACTTGACTTGCTCTTCAAATCCCCAAATGAAATTTTTTTTTTTTTTTTTAGTGTAACATTTATCTCCTCGTATGCATTTTATTCTTGGTTTAATTGCTTAGCTTAACATTTTCAGTGCAGTAGGACACTTATATACAGTATTAAGAAAGGTTCACTTGTAGGATCAATTTATCTACACATCTGATCTCTTGGGCTCTTGTGCTTGCATTCAGGAAATGTTTGCATATACAGTACCACCATTATAGCCTGCCTTTACCATCCCTCCAGTGACCTGGTTTGCAGCAAGCCTCTTTCTTCAGTGTGTAGTATTAGTGTTTTATTCTCTTCCTACTCGATCTGCATATTGAATCTTCAAATTTAAGTATGTAGTGTAAATTTTAGTTTGTCATGTACTGTACTGTATATATATACTGTGTGTGTGTTTATTTTCAATGCTCAGGAACTCCTTAGAATGCTGCTTTCATTACCTATCTGTATCCTGATCTATAAATATTTTTTTGCATCTATTTTCTTTTTCACATATCATAACTTAATTTATTCACATCACATACTATTTTATTTTGATACTGTATATAACAAAATTTTCACCAAATTAATTTAACATTTTAATTACAGTATGCCTTTTTTTTAATGGCTGTACATTTAATTCAGTGTCCATTTGATTAATGCTTTTGAGCAAATACAGTTTTTAATGAGTTTTCTCATCTTGCCAGGGTTGTGGGTGGATGTGGGGTGCAGCTGTTGGAGGGTTGTTAGCTGCTTGCTGCGTGAGTGCAGTATGGGGGTGGGGCAGAGATGGAGGGGGTTTAGGGGTTGTACTCCCCTTCTCTCTGGTTGTTGGAGGCATCTCGGCCATGGTTCTCGGCGCCACACTCACTGTTGCGGCATACGTTATGCTGTCGGCTAAGCACCAGGTTACAGTGCGTGTTCCTGCAGGGATCTCTGCCCTACATGCACTTATTGCGGTAAGCTTGTTTTGACTGCGTCTTATTTTTAACCTAATAATTAAAACGTATTCTCGGCTATACAAAACTAACTTGATATTGTGAGGAATGCTATTGAATTTAGTGCTATTTATTGAATATAGTTTGTGTCGTTTGGATGTAATTTAGTGTTGGGAAAATCATAGATGTCTCTTGATTAAAAAATAGGATTTGAGCATACTGTAGCTAAAGTTCTTTTTGAGCATAATATTTGGGTTGCTGTCAAAGGCAAGGTCTTGTTCCCATGAATGGCAAAATGCACCATCAAGACCAGCTGATTTTGCTCCACCACAGTCTTGATCTTGTCAAACATTTCCGTAAAGTCATGCTGGGTCAGTGAAGATGCTGGAGGTTTCTAAATCCAGCTCAAAAGTAGTGCCCTCTTTAATATGCAGTACAGTATTTTTTTTATTTGGTTGCAATTCAAAACTATTCCAGAGAATTAGTAATTGGTTTTTACTTAAGGTAGTGATGGTCACTTAATTATTTAGAAGTACAGATCAAGAGGGGAAAAAATATATATTTGGTATGGAAAAATGCTGTCTGCTCTCGGTAATATAAATCATATTGGGGAGTGGGGGGAAGCCCCCCCCCCCCTATTTGAGTTAGCGAAACATTCAAGTTTGCCAAATTTCATCCCAAGAATGTCCAAAAACAAAAAGAATGAAAAAAGTTTATAACACAACCTGTGGTACAAATATGCACATTTTCATAATTTGCCTATTTACTTCTGCCATTTTTCCATGCATGAGACAACTGAATTCATTAAGGTTACTGGAATTTGCATTATTGAACTCTTGCAGTACAGGTTCTCGGCTTATTTCATTCTTTTGCCATAAAAAATGTCATTAATGCTTTGTTCATTCTGGGAACTTCCATTCTTTGACCCTCTTTTTACCTTGACATTTGACTCCTGTATATTCACCAGATTCATAACGGTTTGTTTACTGTTTTCATGCATCGAGTTACATCCTGAAGAGTTTGAGTTGATGATAGTTCAGCTTTGGTATTGAACATGTCCTTTCCTTTATCTTAGGAACATTACTGAATGGGAATAATAATTAAACGATTTGCAATAAAGTGCTTATTTTAAATGCTACAATTGATTTACTATTTACAGTATATACTTGTCAAGCTTTAGTCCCTTTCATCTGCCTGATAAATTCTATAACATTTAGTTTCACAATTGTGAACATATACAGTACATATCAAAAGAGGTAATACTGCATTTTGTGAATTTTCTTCTTTAATTTTTAATCTAGTTAGTTATTAGATATAAGCGTACAGCACTCTTTACTTACGTGCCACAACTCTTGCACAATGTCGGAACGTTCTGTAGTGGTAGCTTGATATGCCTTCATATTTGACATTCATGACATGCTGTCTTACCCCATGTGTGGGGATGGAAATTATCTTCAATATTTCATATCTTGGTTATCTTGATGATTTTGGGGCTTTAGTGTCCCCGCGGCCTGGTCCTCGACCAGGCCCCCAGGAAGCAGCCCGTGACAGCTGACTAACACCCAGGTACCTATTTTACTGCTAGGTAACGGGGGCATAGGGTGAAAGAAACTCTGCCCATTGTTTCTCGCCGGCGCCCGGGATCGAACCCGGGACCACAGGATCACAAGTCCAGCGTGCTGTCCGCTCGGCCGACCGGCTCCCTGAAGTTAAGTTACCTAGTTAAACAAAAATCGCATCTTTATTATTTAGTTGCTGGTGAGCAGTGGATAGGAGTGGCACTGTTAGCAACCCATCCTCAAAGCTTTTAAGGTCCCAGTATAAATTTTGAACAGCAGTCATTCCCTCTTTATGAATGAAAGGTAATTTACACACGACTCGGAACTGATGACATTGAAGCTGTTTAACTACTGACCTTCCCCAGGATGCAGCCCACAATTATTGTCTAACTTTTTGGGTACCTGTTTACTGCTAGATGAACAGTTGTATCAGGCGAAAGGAAATGTGCCCAATCATTTCTACCTTTCCCAGGGATTGAACCACCTACGAGCCAAATACATCGATTACTGTACTATGGAGGATCCATATAGGACCCCTAAAATGTGCTTTAGTGGGAGCATATCCAAAAATAAAAACATGTCTTGGAGACAGGATGTCCTATTATACAGTGGTTATTCCAGTACATTGTCTTCCTAAGTGCTATCACGCTGCATAACCAATAATTGTGTTCTGTTCACTGGTGCAGAGTGTCCGCTGCGATGCAGAAAGTTCCCTGCCAACAAGGCATGGAGCCATTATTAGTCGTAAAATTGACGGTGCTATCAATGAGCTAATTGATGGATTCATTGAGAATGATGTAACACCATGGTACGCGACTTTGGTTAATGAAACTACCCCAAGTATTGAAGCTCTTAGGTAAGTAGTTATAAGTACAGTAATATGAAACCTGGAACATGTTAACTAGTGGTACAGTACAATATATAGTAAATTGTATTTATTCTGTGTTAATTTGTATGTTAAAGAGTGAAAGGAAGAGTAAGAAAAAGTGCTAGTGTGTGCTATTATCCATTACAGTAGTTTAATACCTATTTGTAGTTACAGGTAGAGAGCTACTCGTATTCTCATAAATACAGTACAGTACTGTTAAAGCTTTTAGTGGTTTTTAGTTCTTTGGTAAAGTACTTTCTTGTATTCTTTCAACAACTATTCTTCAGTAGTTCAGCTATGGCATTGAGTGCAATTTTTTTTCTGGCTTGAAAAACTCTTCACTGTCCATTTACTCAGTCACCAGACCCTACCTGGTACTTGCCTAGGAGTGGCTTCATGTAATATTTATGTACTTAAGAATGCTTCACTGCATCATGTGTAATGTACTGTAATTTTATGACTAAGTACAAACAATTTACAATAGACATTCAAACAATTAAACAAGGTTACAATATTGGTGTAAAATTCTTACCTCTCAAAATATCATCAATCTTTCTGTTGTAACACATCCAGGCAATTTGCTTAGGAACAGTTCTTGTCTCGTGTTTCTATATACTGTACGTTAATCAATGAGCAATCGAGAACATAATGGGTGAGGGTGTATGACCCTAACGTACCACATAGTTTACACTTTGTTTCATTCTCATTAACATCTATTCCATATTCCCAGTAATATTTGTAGCCATGCCTGAGCCACATGTGTGCAGTCACTCCAAGCATTTCTCCTTTTACCACAAGTGAAATGGGTGTTTTGACTCTGGTGTGTAGTGCTCCATGGTTTGACTTCCCTCGTACATTATACCTCTCCTTGCCAGTAATGTTTGTGCCTGAATATTTCTAATTATGCTTCTTATTTGTCTCCTTGCTGAAACACATTCAATGTCAACTTATAGTTTTCATTTCCGAGGCCTTGCTCTTGACTACATCCGATCCTATCTTAGTGACAGACACCAATATGTAACCATCAATGATACAACTTCGTCCACTCTACCAATTACCGTTGGAGTGCCACAGGGCAGCATCTTAGGACCTCTTCTATTTCTTATATATATAAACGATCTGCCTAATGTCTCTAATATTCTCAAACCTATACTGTTTGCTGACGATACTACTCTTATCTATTCAAACCTCAACCCACATACACTAAATAATGTTGTGAATAATGAATTAAAAAAAGTCCACTTATGGATGTCAACGAACAAACTAACATTAAATATCGAAAAGACTTGCTACATCTTATTTGGAAGCAAATCATCAAATGCAATTCAGCTACAGATAGACAACATTAACATCAGTAATAAAGATGATGGCAAGTTTCTTGGCCTATTCCTAGACAAGAGACTCAACTTCAGCACCCACATTCAACACATAACTAAGAAAGTCTCTAAGACAGTTGGTATACTCTCCAAAATCAGATATTATGTTCCTAACTCTGCTCTCCTCTCACTATATTATGCACTAATTTACCCCTATCTTAATTATGGTATCTGTGCATGGGGGTCTACCACTGCAAACCACCTTAAGCCCATCATCACACAGCAAAAATCTGCTATCAGAATGATAACTAACTCAGCTTTCAGACAACACTCAGCTCCCTTGTTTAAATCCCTAAACTTGCTAAATATTAACTCCCTCCACACATTCTCTTGTGTCAACTACATTTACAAAACCCTGTTCTTAAATGCAAACCATGCTCTGAAACTCTCCCTGGACAGATGTAATAGGACCCATTATCACCACACCAGAAATAAATATCTCTTTGATATCCCCAGGGTCAAACTTAATCTGTGTAAACACTCTATGCTAATTAAGGGACCTAGTCTATGGAACTCACTCCCTAGTGAATTGAAAAACTGTAAAACTTTTGCCTTATTTAAAAGCAAAACCAAAAGTACCTAACTTCATCTTCTTAGTTTCCTACACTGAGCTTTAAATTTGCTCTGTACCTAGTGTTACCCAATCTCCTAATTTTTATGTAATTTCAAACAACCTTATCATTGTGTTCATTGCTGTCTTCTTTTATGTGCTAGCCATATGCTGTATTATGCCTACCAATTTTTTTGTCAACTACCATTCAAGCTGTCATTGCAATCAATCTTAGCTTCCTATGTGCTTTAATATACTGTACCTACAATTTTCTCTCATCTTTTTTTTCATTTCATGTAATCTGTTATCATTTTTTGTCTAATTTTGCAAGTATTTACCTCCTTAAAATTTTCTTAGATTAAGGACCTGCCCGAAACGCTGCGCGTGCTAGTGGCTTTACAAGACTGTAATTGCCATATTTGTATCCTCACATTCCTTATGTACATTCTTGTATATGCATAAATAAAATTAAATAAAATAAATAAAATAAAATAAAATGTGGTGCGTTTGGCCAGGTCATCTGCCAACTTGAGCACTATTCCAACGTGACATGGCATCCACATGAATTTCACTGTGACCTTTCGGCTGTATCTCATTTAATCTCTCTTTTACAATCCTCGACTATGGACATGAATACAATACTGGATTTTGACTGTTTAAGGAATAAAGTGCTCCTCGGATATCGACAAATGCAAAAACATCTATTTCGTCTTGCCATACTTCCTCCAAACCAGCCAGAATGGCCTGCAGTTCAGCGTGTGTGGATAATATATGCAGTAATTACCAAGTCGAAGTACAATTTTCCTGTCCACAGTTCCAAACTCGGTATATTCCCTTATTAGGTCACCACACCCTGCCCTGCCATCTTCCACCACTGACCCGTCACAATATACATGTAAACTATTGACTCTTGGTAACCAAGGTACAGTATTATCATGCCATTCATACAAACACCGTAATTGTCCCGGTTCATGCTGAATCTTTTTCACCTTGAGAGGTACAATTTTGCCTTCTATTTTCTGTACTTACCATGGAGCAGACCTATTACACTGTCGAGAGGGTTTGCAGCAGTAAAGTGCATTTGTATTTCCCGAGGTCATTAGCTAATACCCTCGTGTAGCATGTGTCTCTCTCTCCGTATCCCTGGAAGTGTGTACGTCACTCGAGCAATTCTGAAAGCTCTGAAACGGCTTATTCCATCCTCCTCTCCGCATGAAACGAATAGATATTCCAGTGTTAATGTCACAAACTCTATCATACTCACTGTAAATTTAATCCCATTCTCATTTCAATCATTGCATTTCTTTGAATAATATTATTGTTATTTATTACAATACAGTACTGCATTTACAGTACTAATATTGTTAATATATTATTTTTTGTTTATAATTATATTACTGTACTTATATTTGTTTAGAATTATATTATTTGTTAATAGAGTACATATTATATTATTAGTAGTAATGCAGTAATAATTTAATTTGTATTATTCCAAGGATCATATCTTCTAAGCAACTACAGTAGACCAGCTTAATAAAATTTAAGTCTTAAGTTGTATGTTAATTACAGTATTTCATAAATCTTTTAATGTTTAGAATTAGTGTTTAGATATGGTTACATGCCTGATAGAATGTTTTCATTGACAAAAAACTGAAGTATGTTTGTAATTGATCTGTAATGATTCAGTATATACAGTACTGTACTTTTTTTTCATCTTTTTCCAACCATTTCTTGAAACGAGTACATTTTATTGTTTCCGTGAATGCAGGAGCGTCTTGTGGTATAGCGTTGTAAACATTAACGAGAGGCTAGCCCGTATGGATCATGTTCGCTTTGTTACTGGTGGCGCAGTTAATTGTCTTACACGTCACCTTGAACAGATCAAGATTGCTCAAGCTGCTGGGTAAGTCTTTGGAAATATCTGTAGATAGGAATGCTATACATTTTTTACAAGACAATACAATAGAGTACAGTAGTATGGCAATGGTTGAAATTCTCAACTAGTACACTACACTAAATTGAGTCGAGCACCACAATATGGCCGTTGAAGTATAGCGAAGTACGCTTGTAGCATTCATGGCTTGCACTGTTTTAACCCTTATATGGCTCGGCTAATTTAAAGTCCTACATAGTGTTGTGCATGGCAAAATATAGATCACAAAACTAATTAAAAAATATCACATACGGTGATTCAAACATGGGTGGTAATGACAGACAGCGATTTGGAGCTATTCAAGGGTAAAGCCAGCCGAGGCCTATGCATTGTATTTAGTAGTGCAATATGTTTTAGTCCTTAGACTGCTAACTGTTAATAGCTGACATACCCCCCCATGTGCTCAAAGAAAAAAAAAATTATGAAACAATTATTTTTCTTGTGACATTGTTACTTTAGTCTTCAGGAAGAACAAATATCCAATTAAAACGTCTCTAGCTCTTGTGGTTTAGCTGTAGTGGCCTGGAGAAGCTGCATATTTTTAGGTCAAATGAGTTGGTGCTGCATGGGAATAACCTTTTTTTATTTTTATTGTTTCTCACTTTATTTAGTTTTTTTCATGCTAACGGGTTATATTTGTGTCAAAGGTACTGTCTATTATGTATAACTTTGAAAATATAAGTATGTATGGATATACAAGTATATAGATATTCAGACACCCACATGCTTATTCATAATAATGTGTATACATATTATAAGCCTAAATCTTAAAATTGCATATAGCATTAATTTTTACTCGAATATATACATGGTAATCGCTCATTTGCTGTTGCTAAAAGTTTAGTGTCTCCTCTATTGTTGCCCTAAATGTTCAGACACTGGATGGTGATGTTGCCAAGCAGTGGTCATTATTTTCTTACTAAGGCCCTAGAAGATAAGTGAGGGACTCGGGATATTTTTTTCAAGATTGGGGTGGGTTACTAGAGCACTGGAAAAGCTGGTGTGAACCCCGTGTAGCCATGGTCCTTTTAAATCTTGCGCGGTACTCCAAAAATCATGTGATATGAGCAATTTATTGAGTTACTCGTATGATGATTTGTACAGTTTAAGGGTTAATTAAACAATTGCTCATTTGCAATATTAAAAGTAAACCTGTTTAATGGCAGAGTATTTTAAATGCTAGTGAACTTTGCCTACATAATTATATTAAAGAAAAAATAGCAAATTGGTGTTTTATGAAGATGGTGAAAGTTACATACTTATTAAACTATGAGATTTTAGTAAATTTGTAACAAATAAGTTGGTTATTAATTTGCAGAGAAGCTCGAGGCGAAAGGGGTATATTCCACTTGGTTCCTCAGTTGTGTTCTCCAGAAAGAGAGAGAAACTTCCTTCGGCTGGTGGCAGAGCTGCTTATTTCTCGATGTCTCCCATCAGAATACTCTCGATGCACACCATTGCGCACACTTCTTAAGGAACTTTTGGCTTGTAAAGGTTTGTTTATAAACTATTGCCATCTTGCTGTTATCCCCCTTCTTATTCCAGAGTGGTTCGTTAAACATTCAATTCATATACTACTGGGACCCCTAGTACACTCGAGGGTCCCAGTAGTACAGTCGGGTTTATTTTCGACTCTAAATCAAGAATTCCAGGCAAGACTGAAAATAGTTGGCCACGTTTCGTATCGCCTAATGGTCCTGTTAACCCAGCAGTAAATAAGTACACAGGCGTTAGTCAGCTTGCTGTGGGGTTACATTCTGTAGAAGGTCAGTAATTCAACCCTGGAGGGGAACCTTGATATAAGTCTAACATGTACCGTATGTATAAATTGGCTGCCTGTCCCCCGACATGGTGAATTATGAATTATTACACAGATGCTGGGTGATAGAAAAATTAATAGAAACTCCTTCACAACAGTTAGATAGCTCCCACCATTCACGGCACTCTTCCCACACACACATACACATACACACATACACCTACCTTTATTGATCAGATCCTGGCTGTCCTCTCTGTTGCAGAGGGAGGAGGGTAGGTAGAGGCCACCCAAAAGCATGAAACACTACTCTACATGGCTCCAGAATAAGCCTTCTCTTCCATACACAACTCTAAATACTTGCAGGCATTGGCAATTTATAAATAAAATTAACATTTGTATCGATAAAAGTAAAAAATATACGTTTGAAAAAATATAAAAGTATTGGAATTATTAAAAATAAAAGCTAGAAATTATAATGTAGACCTCTGTACAGTACGTACACTCGTTTGGTGAGGAGAGGAAACTTTCAATTAATGTTTTTCATGACGTTTTGAAAGTTTAGGAGAATTTCCTGCCCTCCTAACCTACCAGAGGATCTTTAACTTACTGTTTTGGAAAAAAACAAAATCTCAAATTTATTTTAATTTTTTTTCCATTTTCAAATTACGTCCATTTTCTGCCATATAGGTAAACAGCCAAATTAATGCGCAATTTATAAGAGGACAAGTTGCCATGTGAATGGAATACTTATTTCCACAGTGTGGATGGCAATTTATGACATGGACGTGGGTCAGTAATTCCTCTGGGCTTCAGTAGTAGTCAGGGAAAGTTGAAAATTTTGGTGTGTAGCAGGATGAAGCTTCTGAAAACTTTTTTAAGACTGCTCATAGCCTAGTTGATGGCGTTATGGCCTCACAAGCGTGGGGTTCGTGGTTCGAGACCCATACAGTCCAGGTGAAGGGAATCTTGATAAAAGGTTTATTGTACTGTATTATACTTTATTCTGTGTTTTTTCTATGTTGTGTTTTGAAGAGGGAGCTATTTTTTAACGAGAATAAGTAAAATTTTAAATATTGTACTGTGAAAAAAATTTACGGACAACTGTGTTCACTACTGAAATGGATTCGACTATCCTGTAAAATATTTAATCACTCCCTTTTGATAGAGCTGCTTCTTTTTCAGTTTTTGAGCCTATGATTGATCGTGTGTGTGACCCAGATTGGATCAATCAGAGGCTGGTGTCATATCTCCGGCAGCAGCACGCAGCAGAAGAGCTACACCGCCGCACCTATATGTATGCAGCTAGCTATGAAGATTTTATCACGCTCATTCATGACTCTACTGATATTCATGATCTTGAGCACCTCGGGTAATGCTCCATTGTTTTTATGTTTTAGATTTTCGGTGAATCTTGATAAATAATCAATTAATTGCATTTTAGAAATGCCCTTTTTAACAAATTTCTTATTAAATAAATTTCTAATGCACTTGAACTTTTTTTGCCTAGTGCATAATTTAATATAGCATTGGTTCTTTCATCTTTATTTTGTATTTTAGCTAGTTTATGTTCAACTGATTAGGAATGGAACATTCAATTAATTTAAACTGTATATGAAAGTTATGGCAATTGCTTGCTAATGTGTTTTTATTAAAAGGTACATTACACACATTGAGTATTGTATGAAAATGCACATAGTTTATTATTTTTGGAAACTGAATATAATTGTGCATATTGCTGTACTGTACTGTCATCCCCTCGTAAGTTTTCCAGTTTACTTTCAAATTATTGTTAGACATTTGCTTTGACAAATTTTTTTTTTAAATGGTATGTCCTTCAAATTTGGTTTACATCCTTATTATTTAAATGTGTTAATTTAAAAACAAAAATGTAAACGTTTTGTGTATTTTCATAACAATGTGCCTTATGGGTCCCAATGTACCTTCGGTGTTCTCCCCCTCAGTGTTTGTCGCTATTTCAGATATACACTTCAGACACAGTCTAGTGTGTGTGTGTGTGTGTGTGTGTGTGTGTGTGTGTGTGTGTGTGTGTGTGTGTGTGTGGCATTTGCGTGGAAGTTGTATATATGCGGGGCATTTGTATGTGACATTTGTGTAATTGTGGTATTTGTGTGTGTGTGTATATATAAAAGTAATTACCCGAGTGTAGTTGCAGGATGAGAGCTATGCTCATTGAATCTTGTCTTCCCAATAATCTTTGTCTTGTGATGCTTTGCTACTAATGGTTTTAGCATCCACCTCCTTCTCACTTGACTTGTTTCGACCCGTCTACAACTCTGCTTGCAAAAGAGAACTTCTTGTAACTTTTGTACCCGTGTTGTGGCAAACTCCTAACGAAGAAAATTCTTAATGCTCCAATGTTTTTGTTGGGCGTGTGCCACTATTTTGTTGGGTGTTTGCCACTATTTGCCAGATTTTTATTAATCGTTTAGAAATTTTTTGTTGAATTATTGTTAGACATCGTTACTCCTGCTGTAAACAGCGAGTGTAACTATTACTTTATTTGAAGGCATTTATTTTCTCCAGACATCCCCACACAGCATTTGGGCCTAGGGCTTGGCTCTCTGACAAACAGATCTCTACTATTTAGAATTTGGAATTACTGCAGCTGCTGGCACCAGACTTGCCTTCCAATAGACCCTCGTTAAAGGATGAGTACGGAATGAGTACTGTACTCATTCCGATTCCATTCTTGGACAAGTCTCGCATTGTTATTTTTCATTACTACCTTCACATGTCGGAAGTGGGGTAATTTTCATCCCTGCTGCCTTCCTTAGATGTGCTAACCATTTCTCGGGCTGCCTCTCTGGAATCGAATCCTGATTTCCCTTTACAGCCTGGGATTCCAGGTAATAATGGATCCTGACTTCCCTAACAATTTATCTGTAAAGATATTCATTTAACTATGCGTTCTCTCAGTTGCATCGTGCACATTACTGGTGCAAGAACGGAACCTTGAGGTACTCTGCTAGTAACATTTCTCCAGTCGGATACATTGCCTCTGAACACTGTTCACATTTGTCTACCTATTAAAACAAAAATTTCATTCTAACATAGTTTGCCTGTTACTGCATAATGTATTCTAATTTCCAGTAGTTTTCTTGTTCTTATTCCAGTAGAACACTGTCAATTTTTTTTTTTTTTTAAGTCTAGGTTTACGCAGTCAGTTCAGCCATTCATTCTAATATTTGTGGCTTTATCATAGTAACTAAGTACAGTAGATTGATTTTGCAGGACATTCCCATTTGAAATTGAAAGTGTTATGTTAGGTATGTGCTCTGTCCATTTGATTTTAGCTATTTTTTTCTAGTGCTTTTACTAGCACGCCTGTCAATGATACACGTTTATAATTCAGAAGGTCTTCCCTGTTAAAATTCTTATAGTAACCGTGTTTGTTGACTTTTTTTTTTTTTTTTTTCTGTAAGGTTCCCTGTTCATAAGGATGTTTGGAAGATAGTCTTTAGTCGGGTGTTAATCTCGGTTGCACATTTTCTTAAGACCTGAGGTAAGACTCAAGAGAAGACTGTCTAGCTCTCGGAACAGTTTTTCTACTTCTTCTCGGGACACTTATATGTGCACTTTACATTTCAAAGTCGATATTGATGCTGGTTTGCTGAAAATCTCTTCCTGCACGAACACACACCTTGAAATGGTCCAGTTAATGGTTTCCCACATTTCCTTTTCTGTCTGAGTTTGTCTCCCATTTGTAACATTTGGATTTTTTGTAATTGCAATTTGTGTTTTATGAATTTATAGAATAGGCTGGATTCTGTTTTAAATTTGTCTGCTATTTTCTGTTCACAATGTCATTGTCTCTTCTCACTGCTGTGTGGTTGCTGCTTGTTTGTTTGTAATACTGTACAGTACTGGTATGTTTGTGAGTTTGGACTCTTCCTGTATTGATTATTTTTTGTTTTTGTTCCTCTTCCAATTTATGTTAAACCAGTTCTGTTTTCTTTATTTACATCTGTATGGTATAAATGTTTTGGTGTGTGTGTGTGTGTGTGTATGTGTGTGTGTGTGTGTGTGTGTGTGTGTGTACAGTATTGTGTATATATAATTGATAAGGTTCCCATGGTCATTAACAGGAAGACTGTTGGGTCTATCAAAGTTTCCCTTGGCCTAGGGCAATGTCTGACCTTCTTGATAATGCTGTCCATAACGGTTGCCCAACTCTCGGTGAGTTATTTACTGCTAGGTGAACGGAGGCAGGCATTTGGTGTATGGACATATGTTCAAATACCATTGTCTTGCATGGAAATTGATCTCAAGACCTATCAGTTCTGAACTAATTGTGCTGATTACTGTATTAAGTTGCATATTTGCATTTGTGTAGCGTACTGTGCTTTTATAGAAGTCTCTAAACTATTTTCTGAAAGATGTTTTAAATAAAAGTTCAGTAAGTGGATATCTCTAGTTAAATATGTTCCATTCTTAACCATATTTTAATATTTTTTGTAATTGTTTAATGAGTACCTCAATTATATTTTGGACATTTTAAAAGATTCTAATTTTTAACTTGCAACTTTTTTTGCCATGTAATTGCACTATTTCATCAATAGTTTTCAGTGCATATGGAAAATGCAATAAATCTCCATTATCAATATACTTTGTTTCTGTTATTACTATTGCCTTTGGCCTTTGGTAGCACACAATCAAACTTTCTTTTCATGGTAGCCTGTGACCTGCTGAAAATTTTTGTTTTTATTTGTCAGCTTTGACAACTTCTTAGAGTTGGTTTTAGCCTCTGAAAGCACGGACGAAATGCTCAGGATAAGGTGAGGGCGCACTTTCTTGCAATCATTGTGCAGCTTGGCCTAATTTCTGTCTTAAATGCTTTTCCTTTGCAAAGGGCCAGTATGGCGGTAGGTTTTCTGGAATGATTCTGGTTGCCTGGTGTGTTTCTCTCAATTTTCTGACGGATGATGCATCTTGAAACAGATGATATATTATCACTTTTCCACTTCTTGAGTTCTAGTATATAACATTATCTTTTTCCGTCTGTCTGTGCATAGATTTCAAATTTACATTTGCACAACTAATCCTTGGCTTTATAAGTGATTAATTGAGAAATTAAGTGCATTTCCACAGGATATAAAACTTGCTTATCATTCATGGGTTATTTAAAAGGAATTTTCATCTACTAAGTGCATATGGTATTTAATGTTCTTGTGCATGGTAATGATCATTGGAATGTGTGAGAGTTATGATGATCATAGCCAATGTATCGCCCTCTATTAATGTGGAACTTGGTCAACTAGTGCTTCGTTCTCGGGAAATGTCCGCCACATTAATGGAGATGTGTATTTTAGTTGGTACTGATTAGTACAGTTTAGTAGAAGTCATTTACTGAAGCATTTTTAAATTGTTAAATTCAGGTTGTTATACAATCAAAATTTATCTATCTGTGGGCAAGACTGGACAAAAAATTGCATTAATGTTTTAGTAGATGTATTAAATTGGAAATAAATTATATGCTGAATAGTTTTCATTATGTGTAACCGTTTCGTATCGTGGTACATAACAGATTATTGAAGTATAATGGGGGAAAATTACTGGGGAAATTTAATGGGGAAAAATGTGAATAGGATTATAATATTGGAAGTTTCCAACGGTTTTAGCTGTCTAATAGCCAGAAATTTGTAATAGAATGTTGTTTCCAGTGAGTATTGCATACTGTCCCTTAAAGTTAAAAATGGCATTTTGATGGAGTAACTCCTTGAATAGAAGTTGCATGATTCTTTGAGTATATCTTTCTTATTTATGCATATGCCTTTATTTTATCCCTTTAATGAAGTTTACAGTGGTTTGCATGAAATTTATTGCATCGCTGGGTTATTGGAGAGGAATAAAAGCCCCAAAAAATTAACCGACTTTTCTAACAGTAATTCTACATTATGGCGGTGTTTTGCATTTTTTATTCTATAATGATTATATTAGGGCTTCTGGGAAAATAATTAAACTTTTTCATAGGTCTGTATGTAAATGACACATTGCTATTTTGTCGACTTGATAGTGCAAGTGATCTTTGCCGAAGTCGTATCGGTGGATAAGGTATAATATATTATGCATGATCTTCCATGGATTTTTCTGGCATTATTACTGACTGCAGTTAAGTTTGTTATATTATTAGTTGACTCGGCATTAACATGCATGCATGCAAGCATGCAATTGAGGGTTGGCTTAACTCTGGAATCACAATTTTCTGCAGGTGTGCAGTGTAGAAAGTAAGCAAGAATGGTTTGTCTTATATTTAACTTGGTATTTTGTTAAAACTTTCTTAGTGTATTGTGCTCATTGACATGAATCCATTATGTTTAAGCTTTCAATTGCCTCTTCCTATTTAAAGGAAGAGGAGCTCAATTAGTTGCTTAAATGTCATTTACAATTAATTTGGAAATGTGTAGGAATGTAACCCATCATGATTATGCAATGAAAATTGATTTATATCGGTTGGTAAGATGGATTTCAATGTAGAATGTATAGTAATTGATTGGAAACTTAAATACTGATACAGTAGTAAAAATCAGGTTTCAAGTAAGTGTTTTTCTTAGCATATTATTTGAGTGCTCCCTAAAATAAGTTCAGATGGGCCCATTGGAAAGTAGTCATGGTCATACAGGTTAAAATGCTGTGTTCCACTGGCACTACAAGGTTCTTTTCAAGCTGACCATGCAGGGTTGTAAAGGTGTCAAGGAGTTACTGGCAAGGTAAGGTAATTATGAGGAGAAAGCATCGATCCATTAAGACTATACAATACAGTACTGTACAGTATAACACTTGGAAAGGATGTTAGGATAAAGATTTAGGATAGGACGGAGGAAAGGAATGGTGCCCCACTTGAATAATTGGGAATTAAACGCTGACCGTCGTTCTATCAGCCAGTCAAAGTAGTTTGGTAAGTTATTGGCGAGTCGAACCAAAAGAGCCTACACCTTGGAATCGGAGAATTTACCACATTAATGATCCATTTTCCTGCTTGAAAACCTTGGCTGATGGCTACCATACAAAGCACAAGATACATGCCTCCAAATCCTCACACCCAGTGCCCTTGACATGCATCCTAACACCAAAAACCATGTCTGAGCATAGAAAATGTATTGGAGGGTGAGAAAGGGAGCAGCAGCAGCAGAGTGACCTATACACAAAGGCATTTTTAATGTTACTGCATACATTTCTGATTTCTTGACTACACCTCGTTCTTCCACTCCTAATGTATGGCTCTAACCAATAAGGAAGAACAAAATGCAATCACTTAGTGTATTCATGTATGCTACAGAACCATGCCAGAACTATGCTCAAGGGCCATAGAATATGCCTCCAAGTAAATGGAAACGAGGGCACCACAGAAAATGCCCATATGAGATGCAGGACAGTTAAAAGGTTGTATCCAAAGTCGCACACTGTAGGGAATTATGATCAACATAATTCCCCTCTGTCCAGTCTAGAGATTGAACTCGGGTTCCTTGTGTGTGAGTCAAGGATGTAGACCACTATGTTACCGATTCAAAAGTACCTGGTATTGACATGTCTGGCTAGTGATGGCCAGTGCTTAACTCTTGAAATTCACATATCTTAAGATGGTTGACCTGTGGTATACATAAGACCCCCAAGAGGTTTCAGGTACTTTTGAAACATTTGAAATGCATGCTGGTACATGGTCTTCATAATTGGTATCTAAGACCTTGAGTAAACATCTGCCACCTTGATAAGTGACATAATTTTTGGGACATTTTTGTCCTATGCTTAGGGCATTGGTTTTTAACTATAGTACTCAAAACAAGGTCTTCCTGTATTTTTCTGTGTGCGTATAGACAATGCCCACGTAAAACCCTTGTGCGCTACAAGGGTTAAGCTCAGCAGGACGGCTGCTGATGTGAGGGAGTAGTTTAGAAATTGACATTAATTTTCTTCCTGCTTTGATGCCCGCATGAATTATGTTTGTGTTTCTTAATGTTTCGAATATTTTTGTTAATATGCACTTACTCTGCATGACTTTTTAATAATATTTGCATACAGACATTTTTAATGAAGTCAAATTTAATTAAAGTGGACATTTTTCATTTATATATTTCTACCGTATTGTTTTATGTATTGTACATGGTACAGTAGTTCTGTTATATTTTTATGCATGTAGTCATATTTTTCATTTTGACTTTCCTCTTAATCCAATTTTTGATGTAGTTATGTACCTGTGAATTCTTGTCTATCCATACTTAAATGCAGACTTCTCAAAGTGCTATCACTCTAATAGTACAGTACAGATTTTGTCAGTAAAACTTTATTTCTGGTACTTGTCACTTATATACTGTACTGCATACAATAATTATGTCCTAAACACAGGTGCGAAGATACTTATATAATTGTTTTCATGCAGACGAAACATAATTAATGAAATCATGCAAGCAACTGCCATCAACAATCTGAAGAAAGCCAAAGGAGTGGACCTCAGCCGTGAGAGTACACCTCAGGGATCCGGAAAGGGAGATTTGCTTCAGGTATGTTTGTTCTGTATGATGGCGAGGTATATTGTATTCGTGTACAGAACCATATTTACGGGTTCATAAATAAGACTTGGTCTCGTTTTAGTCCTCGGTGAAGTTTCAAGGGAAATGTATTGAAAAGAAAATACAGTAGAATATTTCGGTTAAGTATTGTAAATTTTATTATATAGTAGGTTTTAGTGGCAAGTATTTTTATGAATGAAAATAGTAAATGAACAATAAATAATTGTGAAAATTGTACATAAGCAAAATGGCACATACACTATGTATAGGGAATTATCATGCTATTGTTTTGCATTCTAATGCAGAGAAACTTTTATGCGTTGTCATCAATGCTGTTATAATTAGCGTTTATAACTAACGTAATCATCACAGTTGCTATCCGTTACTCTTTCTTCCTGGAGCTATCTCACTGGGATGGTTTACTCCCTACTGAGTTACTGTACATTGGCTGTAGGCGTCCTGTTTGGCCTACTAGAGACCAGACCCAGAACCTGGCATTGCCCTCACAATGGCAAGGAAAACTTGGGGATTGTTATGATCACTCGCACCGAGAAGGCATTCCGAAAATTAGCAAAACATTACGAGCACTAGCAAGGTTCACATAAAACAAAGCGTCGAAACTGACAAAATGACTCCAAAACTAGCTCGAATCCTCTAGTTGCAAATGGCCACCACTAGGTGACCTCTGGGAGCTCCAGGCTGCTGCATTATCTGTGAGTCAGTCCTGTTGCTGATGTCTGAGCATTCAGCTATTCCTGAGTTACTGGCTGTGGCAAGTCCCACTTTTGAAGATAAGTGTAGGCCATCCTTTAAACCTTGCCCTATGAAGGGCAAGGTTTAAAGGTTGGCCTTTTGAAGGTCTCTCTCTTCTCCTTCTTAAAGCATACCTGATCAACCAGGCTGTGACTCGTACATAAAGCTGTGAGCAGCTACATCAGCCTGGTTGATCAGACCAGCAACTAGAAAGGCTGGTCAGAGACCAGGCCGATGGGACATTGATTCTCGGAATCAACAGGTAGGTAAGTAGGTGCCATCCTCCCCTTTTGCTTGATGTGAAGGATATGATTTGTCAAACTTTACTTTCATCATAAATGATGGTGCTGAATTAGCCAGAAAAAAAGTTTTTTAAAGCATTTATAAACAAAAAATATTGTTTTTTTATTTATAAATAATTTGATTTTGCATTGATGGTTTGGAAGTAGTTATGTATCAGTTCCATCTTTTCCAATGTTTCTATAATAGGCCAGGAATCTGAAGCGTTACATCAACCAGCTGACCTATGCTAAGGCTCAGTGTGAGCGCCGAATAAATATCCTCAACAGTGGAAAGGTAGCAATAGAATCGAGCGCTGCTGGAGGATGTGTTGGCAGTTCTGATGTTGCACCAAGTTTGTCGGACTCATTCTCTCACTCGTTGCAGAATCTCCCAGGAAGGAAGGTTGGTATTGACTATAATACATTATTCCATATTGTATTGTGTAAGAACAAATGTACTGTAGTGAAGTACTGTATAGAGTATAATTATTCTTGAATCCAAACATTATGGAATAAGAATGAAAAAATATTTCGTTCTGCTAATGATGGAAAAATTAAGTTGGCATCTATTTAACTGGTTTAAAAAATCACTTATTTGTTCTAGATTCTCATGTTTCAAGCATTACTGGAGTCTGCGTTTGCACGTCGTTACTTCTCGATATATCTGGATGAGATTGGACAAGGTGCACTCATCAGCTTCTGGTCAGCAGTTCAGGAAATTCGTCATGCAGACAAGAAGCTGCACCACCAGTTAGGAACGGAAATCTACTATACCTACCTCAGCCCCCATCCCCCTCCCGTAAAGGTTGATAAGGTATATTGTCACTTATAATAATTCCCGTTGTCAAGGATTGGAAGCCTGTACAAGACTTGGGCTTGTATAAAGGCCTACTTCTAGGTTGAACTATACCGACCTACCCCTGGATACAGCCCATAACAGTTGCCAAACTCGTGGGTACCTATTTACTGTAGGTGAACAGAGGCATCAGGTGAAATGAGATGTGCCCATTCATTTGTATCCCACCCAGGGATGAAACTCGGGACCCCCAATTGTGAGTAGCGAATGCAGACCACTGTACTACAGCAAACATTTTTACACACGAGAACAGCATCTTCAGTAGTAAACAGATTATAAATGCCTGTGTGTTTATACGTTAATTTGTTAATTGCGGTGTTATATGAGTTATATATTTTTTTCTAATAAAAGTGCAGTACAGTTACATCTTCAATCTGGGTGATGTTCTGAACCCAATCCAGATTTGTGACTACTGTAATCCAAATTTCAAAATATTGTATTCAGTTTTTTTTTTTTTTTTTTTTTTAATTTATCACCATATTTTGTTATAGCAAATTATAGAGCACAGCTTTATGCACATTTAAACACACAAATTTTCTCGCATAGTCAGATATAGGAGAGTATCACTATCTCGGGGAGTAGAACAACTCCCAGAAGCCTCTCCAGGTATGCTCCAGGTACAAGAAGCATATAGAGACCTATTGAGGTCACCCTATTACCTTAGGCCTTCCCCCAAAATGCAACCCACAACAGTTGTCTAACTTCCAGTTAGCTATTTTACTGCTAAGTGAATAACGGCATCGGATGTAAAGAAACATGCTCAACCATTTGTCATGCTTGGGGTCCCTCGGTTGTAAGTCAACAATGTAAACCAATGTTGTTATAGTGAGTAATTTCTCTCGGTAGTGAATTGAAGTATGCTCTCAAATGTGCTCCAGTTCACTAGACTTTCAGTTCCCTGTATTTAAAGTCGAATAGGAGCTGGCATACTAATGGTAACCAGGGTATACCCATGACTGGCACAAGAGAACAATTACATTAAAAGGTTAGATGTAATTTGAACAAGAAATGACAGTTTCGAACTCGACGAACCACAATGTAGGAGAGAAATCGGAAGATACTTTATCACCCATTAGGCTACAAACTTTTTTAACTGCCTACCTGCTGATGCCATTAATGCCAGCTCCAGCTCTATAAAATTATCAGGACAAATGGGGGAACCTTTGACAAGCTGCCAATTTCCTGTCTTTAATGAGACCACTAGGAAGATTGGGGCTCTCCTGAAGCCACTAGGGAGATAGGGGGCTCTTATGGGCTACTGAATCCTGTGACTTTGGTGGCCCTCGGGTATATTCAGATAGGTGATGTTTCGTTCCACTCAAAACTTTTTTCTTAAATAGTTGTATACAGTAGTTTTTAATAATATATAATGGTAAAATTAAGCACAAGGTTTTAAGTTGATTATCAAGCAATAGCCTGCAATAAAATATTTCATGGTTTGGTATATTTTCATTGAATTTTATAGTCATGAAACATTTTTTGTAATAGTTTTCACCACACTCTTGCCAAAAAAGTGAAATGGCCCCTTCAAGATACACCACTTGTAACTATTAATTCCCACAATTTCCCAATGGAGCTGGAAGTTGGATACCTACAGAACCCATCGCACAGGTGTGGGCATTCAGTTTACTCTCGTTAAAAATGATTGCAAATCGATGCAATTACAGTAATCTAGCTATGACATTGAATGGTCTATTTCAAAAGCAGTGAATTATTTACAGCCAACACTACGTGGTGTAGAAGCCTTTCTTTTGGGCAACCGAGGCCCTGAAGTTTTGTATGAAATTGGAGAAGAGGTTGAGCGAACGTTAGAAGAGCGCCACTACACTGGTTTCCTGGTGTCGTCAACGTACCATGCAATGCTCCGTCAGGCTGCTCTCCAGGGTGTAGATTTCATGACTGAATGTGCTGGTTAGTATTACGTTTTGTTCTTTGAATGAGAATTTGTAATATCCTTTTCCCTGTGAAGATGAAATTGTGATATACTGTACTAGTATAGTACTGTATATAGTAAAATTGTGTATATAGTATATAGTAAAATTTTGATATACTGTACTGGTAATCTTTGCCCAAAAAGCTTTTCATGTTAGTAGCTTTACAAGACTATACTGTTTAATTACCAAATCTTCAGTTTAATAACCCATTGTGCCTTGTACAAGAAGGCCCAATGGAGACAAAACTAGATATAAAACCATTCATATTTTGAATGTTTTTACCATGGATTTTTCCAGTGCAATGTTGTACTGGGCTGTCAGTAATATTATTTGTATCATAGAATGTATAGAATATTGGTACACACATGTATTTGTCACTAATTTGAGTTCAATATTATATTCTTTGAACAATAAAACAATGTTTTTGCTGTTATTACACTATATACACACATTATATATAACTACAGTATCTACATTTTGTGCAACATAACGAACCACTAAGCTGGTCTGGCAAGTACAAACAGCATAGCTCCTCCACCTGCTAGTCAGATGACTATACCACCTCACTTGACAAAATTCATCCTCCGAATGTACTAGGCACAAAAGTTAGGCCAAAATCATACATACATACATATATATATGTGCAGTGGAAGGTTTAAAAGCAGTGCAGCAAAGTGGTTAAACTAATCTGATGACTGTATGTCCTCTGGTCTTGTTACTGTTACAACTATTGCACGTAAACTTTTGATTAACAAATAATTTTCAGTAGCCTCCAAGAGGCCCACCTGAAAAATGCATTCTATTACAATGCTCCAATTGATCTTCACATTAATATATCAGATTAGTGTGATTTCTTGGTGTATCTGAAGCTGGAGCATACAGTTGATGAAAGGCTTTACCTACACCAGAGTGCTTGGGGGTTTCATATGTAAAACTTGGACTGGCTACAATAGAAGCCTCCAGATATACTGTGGATTCGGTGGAATCCCAGGTTGTATGAATGGTACCAAAATGTGACACAGGAGTAAGGTGCACAGCCAATTACTGGTTCGAGTCCCCTATTTGCCTTAACTGTATTTTTGATGAAAGAACTGTACATAATGCCTGTCTTCTTTGTGCTGTATGTACAATGGTTAATTTTCTATAAATATTTTTCTATAAATTCAGACATTCCATTTGTTGTTCTCGTAATTTATAAGTTTGTTGGATGTGCTCTTGCTCTGATTTTTCCCTTTCCTTTTAACATCTTTAAGTCTCATTTTCATATTTTCAGAGGAAGGAGGAACAGGAAATACAGAGGGAAGTAACACAGAAGCAATAGAACCTGTGCAAATGCAGCTTTCTGATCATTCCTCTTATGCCAGAAATAAATTGGCACACCTACAGGAAAGACTTACCAATAAGCTCTTGGTTTGTATTGCCTAATAAGCCTTTGTTACCTGTATTCTCATAACCTTTGTCTTGTTATCCGTAATAAATTGGTATAGATTCTGTGCTTTCTTTCTCTGAAGCTTTCTGGTGCTGAAGGCTCTGGTACAGAGACCTCCAATTGTACCAAGCTCCTTGACTTACTTAAGCTACTGTACTACAAACAAGGATCAAAATCTTATTTGATCCTAGAAGAGACCTATCAGATTCTCCTTTGCTTTCATGGTTCTCCAGTGATTGTTGTGCTGGTTGAAATTTGCTTATGTGGTCTTTCCTATGGTTTCATATTGGCTATAGGCACTTTCTGGCCAGTGCTTTGATACTTTTGCATATCTCTCTCTTTCCACTTCAAGCTTTTCAGGGTCTGATGCTATGGTACTCTTTGCCCTGTCACTCGTAGTTGTAAGAGTGTGTCGATCCTCAGCAGGAGCCGTTTCCTATGCTGGTGAGCTGTGGCGAGTGCATTTTCCAGTGAGGAAGTTGGCAGCATTTTTACCTGAATATACTGTACCTAAGGGGACCACCACCTTCAGTGACCTCCACTGGGATAGGAAGCCAGTGGCTTGTTAATGATCCTCCCAATACAGTATTTCTAAGCATTTCTTCCAGTTTAATTTTAAACTGTAGTACTGTCATGGCATTTATGGTAGTTCCATGGGTTTAATATCCAGTGGGTAAAAAAGCATCTCCTGTTGTCTGTCCTATGTTCTGGCTTATTAAGCTTGAACTTGTTACCCCTTGTATGAGTAATTAAAGTTGTCTAATGCATTTTCTCTCGGTGCCTGCCTTGCATTCCTCCTGACTGTACTTAGTCATTGGATAACATTTTTACATACCAGTAGTACAGTCAGGTTAGTTCTCAACTTACAGTTGGGAATTCCGGGTTTGAATCCTGGGTGGGACAGAAATGGTTGGCTGCATTTCCTATCGCCTAATGCATCTGTTCACCTAGCAGGAAATTAGTACCCTAGGCAACCTGTCCTCTTACAAATTATGGCTGAATTGGCTATTTGCCCGTATGGCCAAAACTGGATGTAATTTGAAAATGGAAAAAAAATTGAAAATTTTGGATTTTTTTTTCCAAAACAGTATGTTAAGGGTCCTCTGGTAGGTTAGGAGGGCAGGAAATTCTCCTTAAGTTTCAAATTCATGAAAAATGTTAATTTAAAGTTTCCTCTTCTAACCTTTCCGAGTAAGCCGGAGGATTCAAACAGAAAATGGGACAGTACATCACTTTTGCGAGTCGATTTCATTTAAAATTATGGTCAGTTTTGGCCATGGCGCACATACGAGCGAAAAGTGACGTTATTTTTAAGAAGATGGGTTGACTCAGGAGTCTTGTTGTGGGGTTGCATCCTGGGGAAGGTCAGTAATTTGACTTTGAGAGGGGACCTTGATATTGGCTTAACACGTATATATACACACTGGCTGCCTGTCCCCAACACAATGCATTATTAAATGTTTTATCTTCATCTGTTTCATGCATCTTCTTCCTATAAGGATTCCTTCTTCAGTGTGGTGGTGTTAGCTTTGGAATCTGGTAGTCGCACTAGTAAGCTTCACACCCTTCGCCAGTGGAAAGGGTTTTGTTCATTTATGCCTGTTTTTCTCCCGCTCCCACATTCTCCAATGTTTTAAGAATGAGTTCACTGCCATCCAGAGGAATCCCTTGGTCATTGACTCGTGATTTGGCTGGCTGGTAGTCCATTATATGCTCTGTCCTGCAGCTGCTGTGCACTGTATTTAGTCTGGGGTGCCAAGGGATAACTGTCATAAGTCATCAGGAGGGTTGTTCAATTTGGCTTTCATCCATATCAAAAGTCTTTCTGTAACCCCTTCAGTGTGTCCTAGTTTCCAGAACAACCTCTTGTGTAGGACTGTCAAATGCTGTTCTTAGGTCCAGATAAATTCAGTCGACCCAACCATCCTGTAAAATATCTGTGGCTTTCTCATTGAAACTATGATGATTTGTTACACAGTATCATACTGTAGCCATGCTGTCTGTGTGTGTGTTATTATATAATTTCTCTCCATTGGTTTTAATTATATTAAACGTGGTGGTAAAGTGTACCACAAAATTACGAGTTTATATTTTAAAGGGTATTCTTTGCTACCTTGGTGACTTGTCACCTTGGGGTCACCAAGATAACATCTAGTAGCAGTCATGGGAGTTGGAGCTTGGGTTGCTTATCTGTTGCTAAGCTTCATTTAATTTCATAACAGCAGTGGTTTTTGTTTCGTTTTCAACTTTCTGCGTCGTTTCCTTGGTTTTTGGGCCAGTCTCTGATCCCCGTGCTCATTTTGTCTGAGAGTAAACAAGTCTTACAAATGCTGGAGAACTACTGAGGGACCATTCAGTCTTTGGTTTCATTACATTCAATGCTCTTATGGTACTGAAAATTGCATTCATATAATAAGAGCTTGACAATGCAAATTTTAGGTAACCCAAATTAATTTGCATTCATCATTCTTTTTAGTAAACCATGAGAGATTTGGCACTCCTCCTGCACAATAAAGTGCAGGAGTGAGTAGCTAAACTGGAGGAGACCAGGCTGTGGCACAATGTATTGCAAATTATTGTGGCACGTTGCATATTACAATGTATTGCACAACGTATTGTAGTTATTTAGATATTCCTCGTATACTGGTACAGTATAATTAAAGTATAACTAACTTGTACTTTTTTTCAGCATTAATTAATGTTTTATCTTGTTCATTTTGCATATGAATTTACTATGTGCTTCTATAATTTTTAAGTTACTGTAATACGTAAAATTGTCTTGTTGAAGGGAACCGGGGATGACATATTAATATTAGTTTAATATCAGGCACTCCAAGCCTTACGTCAGTGTGGTAAAGCAGATGGAAAAGTAATCACACACTTGGAGGGGGAAATTAGCCAGCTACGCAGTGACCACAAGTTGCTAGAGACTCATGTGGAGAGAACAGGGCTTTGGAGCGATAACATTGGTCGTTGGCGGGTTCATGTTCAAAGTGTCCAGGTTAGTGTATCCAGTTTGACAGAAGATGAAGAGACGACGATGTTTCGGTTCATCCTGGACCATTATAAAATCCAGGATGGACTTGATAATGGTATAAGACAGCCCGAAACATTGTCGTTTCTTTGTCTTCTGGTGTGTGGGGTTTGGTAGTCATATTTTCAACCACATTATTATGACTCTTCTGCATCCAGTTCTGTTCAATATAGTGATATCAAATGCGAGAATTGTTTAACATGAGATCAATCTACTGGAGAACCAAGCCTTGTACTGTGTTTAATATTTTTGTTTTAAATCCATTCTAGCTCATCGAGGAGAAAGATATCCCGCACCTGGTGTTGTTAGTTCACCTAAATTCTGAAGAGATAAAGACCTTGCCGTGCCAAGATCTTTGCTCGGCATCTGCCTTGGCATCTTCCACCTCATCATTACTGTCATCTTGTGCTACCTTGGATACCCCAGAGTCTTTGGTTGTCAGTTCGAGCCCTGCACATGGCTGGGTTATTGTGAGAAAATTGCTGCAACTTGTAGATCTGCACAGAAAGTTATGGTAAGTTACTGTTAAAAGTAAATATATAGTTTTACAGGCTATGCTGATCATTGATAAAAGCATGCCAACAGCTTTCAAAATTAATGTGTTAATTTGTTGGTACTGTATTATTTGCTAATACTTTCCATGACCTTTTCATTCATAAAACCTGCTTTCAGATGCACACACCATATTTTCCAATCTACTTCCTGGCCCCTTTCCTTCTACCTGTAAATTCATTCAAATTTTACACAGTCATCATTCGTTTGTTCAACATGATTGTCATAACACAAGCTCCCTAATCTTGCTATGTATTCATTGAGTTTGCTTTGCATTTTTCCCTGATTTTATTATTCCTTATTCTATCCATCCTAGCATCATTAATACTCCTTGGATTGTACATGTCTTCTACTCTAACATGATTTTATATGGCGAGAACAAAGTAGCGATATGAATGTAAAGAAACGCCAAGACGAGTTTTTTCTTCAATCGGCGACGATTGCTTCAGTCTTTGTTCTGTGTCTTCAGTCTCCCTGTTTAAATTATTTGTTCTTTGTAGGGATAATAGTGTCTACTTAAGCTTTCCGGTTATTTTTTTATCCCTTCTGTAGTGCCATCTGCATTATCTTTCTAAGCTGGTCCTCTTTCTGAATTTTCGCAAAGGAACACATATCAAGAAACTGTGTGCTTCAACAGTCGGTTGTTCTATTCCTTGTGTGGGATTTTTATTACTTACAACAGTTTCCATTATATGTTTGAAAGTTTCATGTATATTTTTTCCCTAATCTATCCCTTTTATTATTAAAATTTAATTTATTGAATAACCCTTCTCGCTTAATAATTTTTTTTAGACCTTTTGCGAGTGTCTGTTAGTTTGCACTTCAATGAGCTTATCACAGTTTATGGGGTATCTGAGATTGTAATGTCCCTGGAGCCAGATTCACGAAGCAGTTACGCAAGTACTTACAAACGTGTACATCTTTCCTCAATCTTTGATGGCTTTGGTTACATTTATTAAACACTTAACAAGCATGAAAACTTCCCAATCAACTGTCAACTGTTGTTGTTTATAAACAGCCTCCTGGTGCTTCGGAGCTCATTAACTGTTTAATAATTGTAAACAAAGCTGCCAAAGATTGAGAAAGGATGTACAGGTTCGTAAGTACTTGTGTAACTGCTTCGTGAATCTGGCCCCTGATTATTTCTTCATTGTTCGTGAAGTTCAAATCTAGAATATTTTCGGTTCGAGTTGGCTGTTATCTGCTAGACAAGTGAATTTTTTTTACTGAACCTAAGTAGTTCCCTGACCTGTAGTTGGTTATTTCCAGATAGATTTCCTGGTATAATATTATTGTTTGCTATTCTCCATCTTAGACCAGTCGGGTTGAAGTCTCTTGGGAAGATATTAGGTATTGGGTTTGGCAGTTGAGGCTATTTTTTATCTTGTTTATCTGTTCTGCAAATTCCTCAACCGTTGCATCTAGAGGTTTGTATACAAGAATAATGACAAGAGTTTATTTTATGTATTTTCCTCTTTGGTTTTATGCAATTAAACTCCGTGGTATTACTCCATTCATCGTTTAAGCCAGTCGTGGATGCATTGGGTCTTGGCTAGAGTTTAGAGTCCAGGGGTCAGATTCACGAAGCAGTTACGCAAGTACTTACGAACATGTACATCTCTCCCCAATCTTTGATGGCTTTGGTTACATTTCTTAAACAGCTTACAAGCATGAAACTTCCAAATCAACTGTTATTGTTATAAACAGCCTCCTGGTGCTTCGGAGCGCATTAACTTTAATAATTGTAAACATAGCCGCCAAAGATTGAGAAAAGATGTACAGGTTTGTAAATGCTTGCATAACTGCTTCGTGAATCTGGCCCCAGCTCTCACCATATTAGTCAGGGGGGGTGTGGTTGCAACAAGTGGTGTGGATAGCCTGCCCCCCCAATCACCTCCCTCCCTCAGTATTGCTCAATGACTGCTCAATGTTATTGAGCAGTCTTGATGCTATTGATCAGCCTCTTTCTCTTTCTTTCACTGGAATTATTCACTGGTTATTTGATTCTCTTTTTCAGAAATGTTTTTTATATATAATCAACTTGTATATAGTGTAACTGAATTCTTTACAGGATAATTATTACTTTTGTGATTGCTCGAAGAAATATTTCACTTTAATTCCTATTTTGTTCTTCTTAGTCAAATTGCTCCATGGATGAAAGCAGTGGAACTACCTTCTGTACCAAGTAAAATGTTTGGCAAAGTTGCTGACAAAGCTCATCTAGAAAAAGTGCGTGTCGTGGCACAGACGTATTTTGATGCAGTTTTAAGTGACGAGAAACTCTCCGGCTCGGAACTTATATATGCTTACTTGTCGCCATCCCCAGAACATTTAAAGCAAGTAGAAATACAACGAAAGAAATCAAAATTCTCATTTTCTACGTTCTTTAAAGGGTAATTTGCAGTCACAAACGGTTCTCTTATCAGCCTTTTTATCATTTTAATTATGAAATAATGCGTATTTTGCATGTATAACACTTGCCACATGTTAATGACGCATACCTTTAACTTGTTGCATGGCATGACTTGACGGCAATATATATATTCTGTATTAAATATTCGTATGTCTTTCAATTACTTGTACTCTTAGTACCAAGAGTAAGTTAGCTTATGTATTATCTCCATTATCCAGTAGAAAATTCCTGATATATATATATACCACTAAATATTAGTTCATACCTATTAATAACATTGTTTATAATTGTAATTTCCCTCTTATTTCAGAGGTGATGGCAAGAGTGACAGTGATGAGGAAGACTTAGGGTTGATAATGGATGGTGGAGAGACATCAGCCGATGGAGGGAGTGGCGATGGTGGGAAGGACTCGATAGCAGAACCTCTCTTTTCGTTCCTAGAGGAACTTTGTGAGCTTAGGGGTGTCAGCAAATGGCTTAGAAAAACTTTGATTTCCTTCGTTCAAATCACATATGGGAAAACAATCACTAAGTAAGTGCTGTGAAATGCTGTTAGTGTTTTCAAATACAAAACATTTTGTTTATGTAAACAATTCTTCTTAGCTTGTTTTTATTACATACATTTTATTGATTAACACTTTGGCGTACCCCGCGCGCCACCCCTCAACTGTGCGATATGGGACCCAGGGTGTCACGGGAGCGAGCGTAAATTCTGAAAAGTGTATACTCTCCAACTTTGTCACCTTAATTCTCGTCCTACGAGATTAAATTTGGTATCATTGTGTTCGCAATAGAATTCTCTACAGCACTAAATGCATATAAACTCCAAAAGCCTGGCTAATTACCCGCAGCAAACAGAGAAAGTGCGAATGAGTTACCCAGGAGCGCGCAAACGGGATAAAATGTTTTCACTATTTTCACTCTGGTCACCTCAATTTTCGTCCTAGGTCTTTCATTTTGGTCTCAATGGGTTCGTAATAGAATTCTCTAGAGGAACATTAGCATATAAAATAAAAAACTTGGTCACGCTCCAACCGCCGACGAGTTGAAGACGGGCCACACGTTAGCTGCGAGCGAGCGCTCAGACGCCTTCCAGCTACACTCCCAATTCCCGCCCTTTTCAAGCCTTTCTTTCGCAATTTTCTTCCTGGTAGGGCCTTGTTCATGATCACTATCCATCGTGGAGTAAGCGTAGATAGTTTCTAAAGCCGCAGTAAGAAATATAGCCACGGAAAATAGCCGAAATGTTCACACGTTTGAGATGCGAGGGGAGGCGACATTGGTCACAACAGTGGAGCGAAAACAATGGGCCCACGGCGTGTGCCAAGCCGCTTGAGGGCCACGAAGCTCAACAAAGAAAATGGGAAGACATGGGCGCACATTTTAAAACCAGTCCCCCAAAAATCGGAAAAAACCCTGATTTTTGGCGATTATTTAAAGTGGATGACGCAATGCTTCGTCATCCCCAGTATTACCAACAGTAAACGGATGACGCAATGCTGCGTCATGCCCGGGCGAAAGTGTTAAATGGTCTTGTATTTGCAAATGGGGTTGTAGATTTATAGAAATTGCCAGGTAATATAATAGGTGTAGAACAACTGCCTCCTTTCAGCCGTAGGTTAGCTATACAGTGTACGGGGGAGGGGAATATGTGTGTGTTTAATTACATAAGTGTAGTTACAGGACGAGAGCTAAGCTTGTGGTGTACTGTTTTCCCAGTACTTTTTCATATAACACTTTGAAACTACTGATGGGTTTTGCCTCCTACACCACCTCCCTTAGCTTGTTCCAACCATCTACCACTAAGTGGCTCCCAGAACTGAAGGGCAAGAGCTACGAGGAGAGGTTAGAGGCATTAAATATGCCAAAACTAGAAGACAGAAGAAAGGTGATATGATCACTACATACAAAATAGTAACAGGAATTGATAAAATTGATAGGGAAGATTTCCCGAGACCTGGAACTTTAAGAACAAGAGGTCATAGATATAAACTAGCTAAACACAGATGCCGAAGAAATATAAGAAAATTCACTTTCGCAAACAGAGTGGTAGACGGTTGGAACAAGTTAGGTGAGAAGATGGAGGAGGCAAAGACCGTCAGTAGTTTCAAAGCGTTATATGACAGAGTGCTGGGAAGACGGGACACCACGAGCGTAGCTCTCATCCTGTAATTACACTTAGGTAATTACTCTGCAAAATAAGACTTTCTAATTTTTTTTTCCACCTCTCTTTCCTTAGCTTGAAACTGTGTCCTCTTGTTCGTGATGTTGCTGGTTTCAGGAATTCTTCCTTGTCAGTTTGGTAGATTCCTGTTAAAATTTTGTATGTGGTGATCATATCACCTCTCTTCTATCTTCTAGTTTAGGCATGTTTAATGTCTGTAGTCTCTCCTCATAACTCTTGTTTTTCAGTTCAATAAGCCATTTTGTAGCATGCTACTACACCTTTTCCAATTTCTTTGTGCTAATTGAGATTTTGGCACCATACAACTGCTGCATATTCCAGTTTTTGGTCTCACAAAAGTCATGAACAGTTTCTTTAGTATCTCACTATCCATATAATTAAAAAAAGTCACGTAAAAGCAACACAGAAAGCAACACGTACGCTCCTCTCTCAATGTTTTTTGTGTTTCCCTGGCGATGGCTTACTATCCAAAACCACCTTTAGGTCTCGTTCTTCATTAGAGTTCTATAATTCCATTCCACATAATTTGTAAGTTGTGTGTTGTCTATTTTCTCTGAATCCACATTTCATAACACGAGATTTATCCACCTGAATTCCATTTGCCACTTTATGCTCTGCGCCTCCTATCTTCCACAGTATCTTAGCATCATCTGCAAACGTGTTCAAATAATTCTGTATTCCTTCTGGTAGATCGTTTGTTAACGATGAACATTATTGGTGCAAGAACTGAACACTGTGGTACTCCGCTAGTAACACTCCTGCAGTCAGATACATCATCTCTGATTACTGCCCTCATCTGTCTGTCAGAAAGTTTTTCATCCATGTCAGAAGTCTCCCTGTCACTCCTCCAGCATGTTTCAGTTTCCAGAACAGCCTCTTAAGTGGGGGACTGTCAAAAGCATTTTTTAGGTCCAGATAGACAAAGTCAACCCAACCACTTCTTTTCTGTATTATCTCTGTGGCTCTTATTATAAAAACCCGCGGCCTGACGTACGAGTAACAGTCTGATTGATCGGATATTTTTTGGAGGTGCTTGTCAAGTTCTCTTGAACACTGAAGGGTCGGCCAGTTACACCCCTTATGTGTAGTGGAAGAGTGTTGAACAGTCTTTGGCCTCTTATGTTGATAATTCTCTCTAAGTACCTATTGCACCTCTATGGTGTGAATATAATGAATGAATGATAATTTGATGTTTTTATTTGCCAAACAATATTCAGAAGGAAGTTCTGAATCTTAGCATTTTGAAGTACGTACTCAATTGTGTAAATTTGTCTTTTGATATCTTTGAGCCCAATTGCAGGGTAAAACATAATTTGAAAAGATACTTGTTCCTATGCCTATCATAATAATATTATCCAGAGTATGGTTGAAGTTACCGAGATGATGCCCAGATATCGGAATTGCATCATGGTCTAATTTTGCTTTCAGACATGTACGGGAAACAGTATCGGGCATGCTCAGTGAATCGATGGTACTGTACTACATGCACACAGTTAAAGACGATCTTTGGCCCTCGCAAGATGAGATACAAGCACCACACCAACCTCGGACGGAAGAGGACAAACTTAGAACAAGGTTACCTCTCGTCAACATAGTGTTTTTATTGTGTGTCATATTTTCTTCATTTGTTCTCGAGCAAAACTTCCAAATATTATAACTGACACATAATAGGCTTTTGAAATTTTTTTATTTGCCACTTCCTTATAATAGTGCATGCAGAATATTCTGAAAATTAGAAGAGTTAGAAGCCTTTTGGGTGTAAAATAGCCAGTAGCATTATTTGAAACTTCTCATCATGGCATCTTTATTATTTATATAGTTGTTGTCGGTGAGAATTTACTTTTGTTTTTACAATAAAAACAAAATTTGCTTAAAGAATTCATTGTCTAAGAATTTTCAAAAATGCTAAGAATGAGGACCAAACCACACATCAGAAGATAAGGAGATGATGGCATTTCTGACCATTCTGGATCAAGTAGATTGTCGACTTGATGATTGACCAGGACGGACTGAAACATTGTTGTCTCTTCATCTTCAAACCAGAAGTTTGATCATCATGCTAAGGATAAGGTGGTACTGTACAGGTAATGCGAGGCTTGTATACACAACATAGTTGTCAATGATGATTGTATCATATTATCTAATGAACACATTCAAGTTCCACAAATAAGTACCGTATTTTGCATTTTTTGGTTTAAACGTGCTATGACATTCAATAGTTATATACTTAAAATATTGCCAATTATCTTTCTAAAAGAAATTATATTGTTTGGACAGATAACCTGCATTAGTATGCTATTTCATGATGCCAGTTGTTGAGCACATTAAACATAAAAATGGTCTAAATTTTTATATGTTGATGTATTACATGTTAGATCTCCTTAAACAAAATTGGGAGTTTACTGTAATAAGATAAACAATATATATTTACTAGTTAATAGAATGTAACCATAACTCATTAACTAATAGGTACATTGTGATAAATTAACTGCAGTCTTTGATGCTATTGATACAATGACAACACAATTGTAATCTTTTTATTTTCAGATACGAAGCACGGGAGCAATTTGTCAATAACTTGCCTGTTCTTTTGTGTACTCTGGTGGGTCAGCAAAATGCTCGTCGGGGGGCAACAAAGCTCTTCACCACTCTTCAACATCATGCACTTAACAAAAACCTGTTTTACGTAAGTTTTGCCTATTTTTCTTGAAGTAATGTACTGTACAGTAATTGTATAAAACTGAAATGTTCATTTATTGATGAGGGGAGTAAAAGATATTAATTCATCCAGCTAGATTATCTTCCTCTTTAAACAAGTCATAATCATTTAATGAAGCAGCAGAAGAATATTCTAAAATGTAAAACTCTTTCACAGAATAACTTTCTTAAAACATTTATGGCACAGTATTTAATAGGTAAAAATTTATAGCATTAATACATTTTACAAAAAATCTCTCGGCTGCGTGTATTCGCCACTAGTATGCATTATTTATAACGGTGTATACAATAAACAACCTGGATGATGTGGATATTTTGCATTTCTACACTAAGGCGACTATCTTCAGCGACCCTGATGGGAATAGGAAGTCGGTAGCTTGCCAAAGGTTTCTACATTGTTCCTAAAGGATTTTTAACATGTAATTGTAAAATAAATGTGGGGGAAAAAATAGAAGGGGTTTGTGCCCGTGGCAACGTAGTCTAGGAGATAGGATGCATTATAAGAATATATAGGAACATTTGATACAGGCAAAACAAGTAAGCCACAATGTTCATGACTTTTGTTAGGCCAAAGCTAGAATATGCAGTGGTTGTATGGTGCCCATATCTTAAGAAGCACATCAACAAACTGGAAAAGGTGCAAAGATATGCCACTAAGTGGCTCCTAGAACTGAAAGACAAGACCTATGAGGAGAGGTTAGAGGCATTAAATATGCCAAAACTAGAAGACAGACGAAAAAGACGGGATATGATCACTATGTACAAGATAGTAACAGGAATCTATAAAATTGATAGGGAAGACTTCCTGAGATCTGGAACTTCGAGAACAAGAGGTCATAGATTTAAACTAAACAAATCTGCCAAAGAAATATAAGAAAATTCACTTTCGCAAACAGTGGTAGACGGTTGGAACAAGCTAAGGGAGAAGGTGGTAGAGGCCAAAACAGTTAGTACTTTCAAAGCATTATACGACAGAGTGCTGGGAAGATGGGACACCACGAGCGTAGCTCTCATCCTGTAACACACTTGGGTAATTATAATATAGGTGCAAGCTCCCACAAACTCTTATAAACATAGAACACGAGAAGGTAATATGTAATATATATTATATAATATATATATATATTATATAATATATATAATTTATTATATATATTATATAATATAATATAAATGTCAGTGGTAAGGTTCAACCACAGAAAACAGTTGAATAGAAGCAGTAGAGGATGTCCCGTCCTCATTAAGAAAATGTGTGAAGTATGGGAAGAACTGCAAAGTTTTGTTGAAAAAACTGATCCAGATAAAGCTGTAGCAGGCCATTGTATTGACCTTTTAAATGACAATGTGATGTCTCACTACAGACAAGTGTTATTATGTAGGGAAAAACAAGTGTCTTTAGACAGATTCTTAGTAAGACAAGCAAGCAGTGAGCCACAACCAGTCCTAGTGGTATGCAGGCAAAATGCAGGAGAGTACCTCAGAAGTCCTCACTGCCTGATGTTATAATGGAAGGGGACTCCCCTTCCAAACAGTAACACCACTCCTCCTCCCCACCGTCTTCCATACGCCAACAAGAGTCCTCGATAAAGGCAAGATATACAGTACATACTGTATTGTAGCTAGTACAAAAAGACTGGTATTCGGTATAAAATGTATTTTTAAGTTAATATTTTTAGGGGTGTGGAACGAATTAATTCAATTTACATTATTTCTTATGGGAAAATTTGTTTCAACTTACAAATTTTTTACTTATGACCCATCTCTGGGAACGGATTAAATTCATAAGTCGAGGCCCCACTGTATGTCTACTTTACCGAATAACGGAAATACTGAAAGGAAATGGCAGAGTAGCAGGTATTGTAGCAGAGTGAAGAGTGTCAGGGATATATGTATACTGTACATATAGGAAAAAGACACAAAATTCCTGCAGAATAAAGCTTGTTCAGAGCTATCCCACTTGAATGCTACCTTTCTTCCCTCATTGGGTATGAGTATTAAAGTCAGATAAGGGCCACAACCAGCAGAAGCACAATGACCTCAATAGGCTCGCTATTACTGTCAAAAATCCCTTCCAAGCCCAATTTTTCACTAAAATGAAAGTAAAATAATACCCTCACTAACTACCACCTTGCCCACTTGGTTGTAGCACCTATGACCACACTGGATTCCTTGCCTCAAGGCTCTCATTATTCCTGGTTGTAGCACCCACACCAGGTTAGTGCATCAAGGCGCACTCAGTTCCTGGTTAATACCCAGCTAAGATACTTATGTTCATCTATTAAACTTTGTTTTTAACTAGGCAGTTGGCTCTTGTGTATAAGGAACATCTTGTGTGTGTTTACAAGTCGTTTGTGTATCTGAAGTTTCTTGACATTTTATGGACCCCTTCCTGCTTGATGTGTGGACCATTCCTTATTTGAAGTGGTCGCAAAACACTAGAATTAAAGCACTCATTAATGTAAGCATAAATTATGGAGTTAACAGTTTCATAAAGAGGAAGTAAAATTGTGAAACAAATGATTTTGCTTTTAACAAATAGTGTATCATGAAGGGCCTTATCAGTCTGGCTTCAATAACTTTACAAAAAAAAAATCAACAATCATTTAATAAGACCTAACCAATTCAGCATGTCAAATCTTGATCTGCCAATAATGCAGAGAAACCAGGCTTAGAGACGTACTGTATGCTTTCTAAGTTTTTTTTTTTTTTTTTTTTTTTTTTTTTTGAGATGTATACAAGAGTTGTTACATTCTTGTACAGCCACTAGTACGCGTAGCGTTTCGGGCAGGTCCCTGGAATACGATCCCCGCCGCGAAGAATCATTGTTACAACCAAGTACACATTTTACTGTTGAGTTAAACAGAGGCTACAGTTAAGGATTTGCACCCAGTAAATCCTCCCCGGCCAGGATACGAACCCATGACAAAGGGCTCGCGGAACGCCAGGCGAGTGTCTTACCATTACACCACGGAGGCTATTGGGGACAGGAATCCTATTAGGTTTATCGAGGTCCCCTCAGGCCAACAACTGATACTACATAGGATGCAACCCAAAACAGTTGTCTGGTACTTACTTACTGATTGCTAAATGGACAAAAAATTCAGTTGTAAGGAAATGTGGCCAAATGTCTCATCCTGCTAGTGCCCAGATGTTTATGGAGGATTCTAGGCAAGGTCCCAAGGAGATTCCCGAGCAGAGTTGCAAGGTTTTTTGAGTTGCGTGACAAGGAGGTTCGAGAGCCAAATGCCAATAACAGAGTACAGCTCTACAGTAAATTTTAATTATTTTTTACAACTTCATCTTTATATTGCAGAATAACTCTTATTTTTCCTCTAATTTGTTAACAAATTGTACTTTTACCCTATACAGTATGCTACATAGCCTTCCTGGTTTGGTGTATAGGTGTACAGTATTTAATTTTTAAATATCATAAGTATTTGAAATTTGTGTTTATTCCAGACTGTGCTAGAAGTCCTCCTCAAAGAATTGTTTCCTGAACTCCAAGAACATATTGACAAGAAATTGTGAGGTTCAGTGTAACTTCAGAGGATTGAAAATATCCAGTATATTTACTAGTGGTATCGGTTGCATTGTGGTCCTGTGTGGAATTAACTAGCCCAAGTCTGAGTGGAAACTGATCCTCATCAGGATCTGTTATTGGAAGTAGACCTGGCTGCCATGTGTAAACCAAGGAGAAAAATGTGGTATTCGGACTACAACATGCTTTCTAGATGCCTTGGGACAGAGACTGAACGAATAATTGATAGTGTCCAGGTAAGTGTGGGTGTCGGGAATGGTGGTTGGATTTTTACATGTGGGTTTGGGTATCAGTGTGTGGGTGCTTGCACATGGGTGCTTGCATATGGGTGCTTGCATATGGGTGTTGGCATGCAGGAAGTATGAGGGATTGGTGTTGCTTAGTGTGTGGAGATGACTGGCAGAGGTCCACAAGCTAGAGTTGACCCTAGCTGGGGAGGGGTCAGGGAGGTGGTGCAGTTGTTCACTCGTGTGACGAATTGTAAATAACGATGTAATAATTATTTGGTTATTTAATAATTTAGATATTTACAAGAATATAAAATGGGGGTATTGACAATTGAAAGCATATAAAGTTACTTCATCCTACAGTAAATATTAACACTTGTATTGGTTGAGTTGGGGAGGAGAGGAACTGAACAGGAAGGAGACGGGTGATTATTTGTCCATCATTGTCTCCCCACTCTGTGTAGCCTGTCCACGCTGACAGGTAAGTTGACAGATTTTTATTTTCTGGCTGGTTCTTTGGGTGGAGATGGTGTCCAGCACTAGCTAGACTGAGAGGTGGGCTCCTGGTTTACCCTCAGGGCATGGTGGGCAGCTGGCTCCTGCTCTCCCAGATGTCTTGCCTTGCCTGGCAATGAAACTAGGATATGGTCATTTGTGAGCCGATTGTGGTCACTAGTGTGTTACAGGTCGATAAGATAAACTTCTAAAATAAACTATATACAGTGTAATGTTTCACCATACCATAGAGGTACCAGTTTTATGAGTTCCAGGTTGTCTAGTCATACTGAAAGTTCCTAAGCAGGATAAGCAAATTTGATATTTAACACTGTAGAGTTAACTAAACGTATAAGTGTATCGGAGAATTCATTACAGTAGGGTATCTTGCATTATTACTGTGATATTACAAAACCAAAGAAATAATTCTTAAGTTATATTGGGCAGTATTGTTATGGTCACAAATGATAGTGTAATTTGAAAATACAAATGCAGATAATGTTAAAGGTTTTAATAAAATAACTATGATTACTAGAGTGTGTTTTCAAGAGAATTATATTGAAACTGTCCTGCTTTGAATGCAGAAATTAGGATTTAATGAGTACTGTACTTTAAAAAGGTGTATTTACTATTTGTGCCTGAAGGATTGAGATGTTAGCTCGATCCTGTGTGTGACATTAAAGTGTGGGGATGGCCCATTTATTTTTTGGTGCACATTCAGTAATGCACCGATACATTTATTTTGGCATTATGACTACAAAATCAGTGGCCCATACCCATTAGCCAAAATAAAATGTTCTTTTCCACTCGTCTTAAAATTTTCCTTATTCTTAGTAATAGCAAAACTTGGTTAGTATAGCAGAGAGTAAGTCATAATAACATGGCTGAAAATTAGTAACCCAACCCTCGCATGAAAAGATAGAAAAGTGAAGATGTTTCGGTCCATCCTGGATCCTTATAACAGCTTTGTAAAAGTCCAGGATGGAATAAAATGTCATCACTTTCAGTTCATACTTGTATTGTAACACCTTGTTGGTGCTTTTTTTTTTTTTTTTTTTTTTTTTTAACAAAATTATTTAAAAAAAATTATTTAACTGATGAAAAATTCACAGTACAAGTATTCTTATGCTAGACTTTAACCACTATTGTCTGTTCCTGACATGTCAAGCAATTATGTTTTTAAATAACACTGTACAAAAAACTGTATATTATTCCATAGCATTAGTGTCAATTGATGTTGATCATAACTATTTCAATACTTAAAAAGCACCATTGTTGGCAAGCATGTGAATATATAGTATTCCTAGTCCAATATGCCTGTGCCTGTTGGCTTAATTAAGGGTTTAAAATGTTTTAACTTCATATAAAACTGTATAGGTTGTCATATCTGAAGCTACATACATATATATGTTTACTAAATACAGTACAGTTTCCCAGCTGTATAAATTGTTATTTTCAGTGTGATTCATAATATGTGAACCTTTCGTTGTACAGAAATAGTAATGATTATTTACTACCTTAGTTGCTTCCATACAAATGTGCATATTGTGTTTTCTGGCATATAAGATGCACCTAACTTTAAAGGATATTTTGTGGAAAATTAAGTAACAAGTGGTTTTGTAAGGAAAAAAACAATATATATATATATATATAATATATATATATATAATATGACACATACTGTTAGTGGACCAAAAGCATGCATCCTATTTGCCAGAAAATACATTAATTATACATACTGTACTTATTCACACGATTTTTAACTGACATATTTGTTATCAAGTCGGTATAAAAATTACTGTAAATCATATTACTATACTGTATATTTATCCTGGGTAATACTGAGCACATCATGAAATTAATGATACTTGACACTTGGCATAATACTTGACACTAAGCATCAATTATTCTTAGGATTGAGTGCTTTTATTACCAAGGGAAAGTCATTTTAGGAGCCACGGAGCCTTCCGTGAGGTCCTGCGACCACGGAGCCTTCCGTGAGGTCCTGCGACCACGGAGCCTTCCGTGAGGTCCTGCGACCACGGAGCCTTCCGTGAGGTCCTGCGACCACGGAGCCTTCCGTGAGGTCCTGCGACCACGGAGCCTTCCGTGAGGTCCTGCGACCACGGAGCCTTCCGTGAGGTCCTGCGACCACGGAGCCTTCCGTGAGGTCCTGCGACCACGGAGCCTTCCGTGAGGTCCTGCGACCACGGAGCCTTCCGTGAGGTCCTGCGACCACGGAGCCTTCCGTGAGGTCCTGCGACCACGGAGCCTTCCGTGAGGTCCTGCGACCACGGAGCCTTCCGTGAGGTCCTGCGACCACGGAGCCTTCCGTGAGGTCCTGCGACCACGGAGCCTTCCGTGAGGTCCTGCGACCACGGAGCCTTCCGTGAGGTCCTGCGACCACGGAGCCTTCCGTGAGGTCCTGCGACCACGGAGCCTTCCGTGAGGTCCTGCGACCACGGAGCCTTCCGTGAGGTCCTGCGACCACGGAGCCTTCCGTGAGGTCCTGCGACCACGGAGCCTTCCGTGAGGTCCTGCGACCACGGAGCCTTCCGTGAGGTCCTGCGACCACGGAGCCTTCCGTGAGGTCCTGCGACCACGGAGCCTTCCGTGAGGTCCTGCGACCACGGAGCCTTCCGTGAGGTCCTGCGACCACGGAGCCTTCCGTGAGGTCCTGCGACCACGGAGCCTTCCGTGAGGTCCTGCGACCACGGAGCCTTCCGTGAGGTCCTGCGACCACGGAGCCTTCCGTGAGGTCCTGCGACCACGGAGCCTTCCGTGAGGTCCTGCGACCACGGAGCCTTCCGTGAGGTCCTGCGACCACGGAGCCTTCCGTGAGGTCCTGCGACCACGGAGCCTTCCGTGAGGTCCTGCGACCACGGAGCCTTCCGTGAGGTCCTGCGACCACGGAGCCTTCCGTGAGGTCCTGCGACCACGGAGCCTTCCGTGAGGTCCTGCGACCACGGAGCCTTCCGTGAGGTCCTGCGACCACGGAGCCTTCCGTGAGGTCCTGCGACCACGGAGCCTTCCGTGAGGTCCTGCGACCACGGAGCCTTCCGTGAGGTCCTGCGACCACGGAGCCTTCCGTGAGGTCCTGCGACCACGGAGCCAGTAATTATCAAGAAGAGGCAATGTAGGACATTGCGAATACCAAGTTTTCCGCAGTTTTGCGACTACGGAAGATCCGTAGTCGGAAAAAGCAGCCTGTTTTCCGACTACAGAAGATCCGTAGTCGGTTTCCCGACTACGGAAGATCCGTAGTCGGTTTCCCGACTACGGAAGATCCGTAGTCGGTTTCCCGACTACGGAAGATCCGTAGTCGGTTTCCCGACTACAGAAGATCCGTAGTCGGAAAAAGAAGTTGGTTTCCGACTACGGAAGATCCGTAGTCGGAAAAAGAAGTTGGTTTCCGACTACGGAAGATCCGTAGTCGGAAAAAGAAGTTGGTTTCCGACTACGGAAGATCCGTAGTCGGAAAAAGAAGTTGGTTTCCGACTACGGAAGATCCGTAGTCGGAAAAAGAAGTTGGTTTCCGACTACGGAAGATCCGTAGTCGGAAAAAGAAGTTGGTTTCCGACTACGGAAGATCCGTAGTCGGAAAAAGAAGTTGGTTTCCGACTACGGAAGATCCGTAGTCGGAAAAAGAAGTTGGTTTCCGACTACGGAAGATCCGTAGTCGGAAAAAGAAGTTGGTTTCCGACTACGGAAGATCCGTAGTCGGAAAAAGAAGTTGGTTTCCGACTACGGAAGATCCGTAGTCGGAAAAAGAAGTTGGTTTCCGACTACGGAAGATCCGTAGTCGGAAAAAGAAGTTGGTTTCCGACTACGGAAGATCCGTAGTCGGAAAAAGAAGTTGGTTTCCGACTACGGAAGATCCGTAGTCGGAAAAAGCAGCCTGTTTTCCGACTACGGAAGATCCGTAGTCGGAAAAAGCAGCCTGTTTTCCGACTACGGAAGATCCGTAGTCGGAAAAAGCAGCCTGTTTTCCGACTACGGAAGATCCGTAGTCGGAAAAAGAAGTTGGTTTCCGACTACGGAAGATCCGTAGTCGGAAAAAGAAGTTGGTTTCCGACTACGGAAGATCCGTAGTCGGAAAAAGAAGTTGGTTTCCGACTACGGAAGATCCGTAGTCGGAAAAAGAAGTTGGTTTCCGACTACGGAAGATCCGTAGTCGGAAAAAGAAGTTGGTTTCCGACTACGGAAGATCCGTAGTCGGAAAAAGAAGTTGGTTTCCGACTACGGAAGATCCGTAGTCGGAAAAAGAAGTTGGTTTCCGACTACGGAAGATCCGTAGTCGGAAAAAGCAGCCTGTTTTCCGACTACGGAAGATCCGTAGTCGGTTTTCCGACTACGGAAGATCCGTAGTCGGAAAAAAGTTGGTTTCTGACTACGGAAGATCCGTAGTCGGAAAAAGCAGCCGGTTTTCCGACTACGGAAGATCCGTAGTCGGTTTTCCGACTACGGAAGATCCGTAGTCGGAAAAAGCAGCCTGTTTTCCGACTACGGAAGATCCGTAGTCGGAAAAAGAAGCCGGTTTTCCGACTACGGAAAAATCTGTAGTCGGAAAATACAGCCATTTTGCGACTACGGAGTTTGTAACTAGATAAAGAAGGCACCAAGCCAGGAAGGATATGTAGCACGTTGCAACTACAGAGTTTTCATCTTTTATTGGACAACTACTGCCACCGAATTATTGTTTATCAGTGAAACATATTATTCATAGTTACCTATTCAACACGTCTCTACTGAGGAACACTGTATACAAACAGCACAAAAATATCTGCCAATGTTTAAATGCCTTAATGCCCTAATATGCCTATTAACTCACAAATTTAGTGAACCCAAGTACATTACCACCAAGACATTGGTACAGACAGTATAGACTTCAATAAGTTTGCCTATTATAAAGAATTAAAATTATGTACATTCTCTGCTTTTTATGTCCGTTTATATAAACAACTTTGAACAATTATTCGGTATTGTACCCATGTTCGTATTAAGAGGTTACAGCAGACTAACTTAAATGTAGGAAAAATCCTACCAGTTTCACTGAAGGTGCAACTCGCCTTAGATTTAGATCCTTGCCTTTGGGTTACCTTGAGGTGGTTCCGAGGATCTTTGACCATACAGCCAGGTCTACGGCCTGGCTGATGGTCTGGTCAACTCGCCTGTTAGACTGCTGCCCACAATTTGACACATGAATATTAATGTTTTGTATAATGGCTAAGTCAAGGTGTGCAATGTTTACATTTCGGTGTGCTTTAGACAATTAGTACTGTACTTTTATCTTTACCAGGAATAAATTGTATTCTAAGGTAATGAATAATTATTTTTTCTGATCTTGTTTACTCCACAAGAGCACACAGGAAATAAGAGATTATACTGTACAGTACTTATTTTGAGAAGCGGACAGCCAGGGGTAAAACCCAGGTTGGGTTGTACCTACCTGGGTTTTACCCCTGGCTGTCCGTTTCTCAAAATAAGTACAGTATAATCTCAATTTCCTTTGTGTTCTTGTAGAGTAAACAAGATCAGAAAAATAATTATTCATTACCTTAGAATGCAAAATTTTCATACAATTTATTCCTGGTAAAGATAAAAGTACAGTACTAATTGTCTAAAGCACACCGAAATGTAAACATTGCACACCTTGACTTAGCCATTATACAAAACATTAATATTCATGTGTCAAATTGTGGGCAGCAGTCTAACAGGCGAGTTGACCAGACCATATATACAAAATTATACAATATATAAATATTATACAAAACATTATCATGAACTATGCTTCAAATTTCATCAGATGAATATTAAAGTCTTATATATTGAATAACTTGAACATTTATGGTACTTCATTGTAGCTTTTAAAATGGCAAGTGATAAATGTTATCCAACACAAAGTCTGATGGACACTAGTTCATAGCACTGTTACAAGGCAATTTACCATTAGGATTAACAGCCTTCAATGGTGGTTGATCATATACACCTCATCCTGTACATCTTTCACAAAGTATCGACAAGTGATTTCAAGCTGATATCACAAGTGGGGACATAGTGCTGTCCCCACTACACAAAACCAACTTTGTTATTACTGTGCCACACTTATAAGCTTTTCCCAGTCTTCTTTAGCAATATCTCCAGGTCTTGTTTTGCTTCCACGGAATATGTGGCCCTCCTGGTCAATGGCATAGTTATAATCAACTGGGTTCGCCAAAGCAGTTTCAATGGCTTTTTCCAAATCCTCCTGCTTGATGAAAGTCTTCACCAACTCCTGTTTTAAAAATGAAAAAAATACATATTACACAGTACCAAATAAAAGCCTATACTATAGACATAGCACTATCAAAAGATATCTAATTTTCATCATTATTCAACATATGTTTCTCCCTGCTGGTTTGGCTAATGAAAAGTCCAGTGTAAGAGAAGATTAACACTTTCGCGCTCTCGGCGCTCAAAAAAAAAAAAATACCCCAGATGCTTTCGGCACTTCGCGCGCCTACGCGGTAAGACCGAAAAAGTGTACACTCTTTTGACTGTCCTGACAATAATTGAAGGCGCACGTATTTAAATTTGGTATCACTGTGTTCGCAATGAAATTGTCTATAAGAGCATACCTATAAAATGCCGCCCAAGCATAAGGAGTATCAACACCAAATAAAAAACAATGCAGATCACTCGCCGAGAGCGCCAAACAGCAACAAAATGTTTCCACTCTCTTAATGGTTGCGAAGCCTACAGTTGTCCTACATCGCTAATTTTGGTATCATTGGAATCGCAATAAAATTCTCTACACGGACATATGCATATGGATGTTTAATATAGGTAATTGCCCACCCGCAAGAGTGTGTGAAGTGGAGAGTAGTTAGCCGCAAGCGCACTGGCGAAAACACAATCATGCTTGGAAAGTTTATACATTTATACGTTTCCTGACCCTACTTTTCTATGTACGTATTTCTTTTTTATACCAATGTGTTCGCAATAAAATTTTCTATAAGATGAACTGTATAACATTTGTACAAAGCATGTGTAAGAGAAGCGCCAAATATAGAACCACGTCGCTCAGTATGAAACGAACGCATTGTTTTCGTTCGTTTGATGTTTGTCATGTTTATACTTGTTGAAACATTTTATAATTTGCATGACAGTGATCGCAGTAAAATTCCCTACACAGACATATACATAAAACATACAAATATTTCCCACGTGTTGGATATATCAACGGCTAAAGGGAACCCACTGCCACACGCTCGCCACACCCCCAAACATACTTTGTGTATTTTTTTTTTTACTCATAGAAGTTTGTGATATAATATTCATTCTGGTACCAAAAAAATTCGCAAATAAATTCTCTACAAAACAAAAGTATCCCCATCCATTTCGGTTAAAAAATGGAATTTATAGAAATATTTTTTCGATTGACGAGAAAAGTAGGCAGTTATGCGGAATCGTAAGAAAAACCAGTGACGAGTTATCTCTAATCGAAAGCGCGAAAGTGTTAAGTGGTAGAAAGGTGATCATATCGTACAATTCTATTCTAAGATCTTACAATATTCTATTCTAAGATCATATCTTACAATATTCTAAGAGGAAAAAAAAGACAAGAAATCACTGGTAGACATGCTATGATGATCAAACCACACATCAGAAGATGGAGAAATGACTACACTTTGGTCCATCCTGGACCATTATCAAGTCGTGTGAATGTAAACATTCACACTATGTACAGTACTTGATAATGGTCCACGACAAACTGAAATGTCACCGTTTCTCCATCTTGTGTGTGGTTTGGTCGTCATATCTTCAGTCATGTTATTGTGACTCATCATCTGCATTGGTAGAAGAACAGAAAATAAAAATTAATACTATATAGTGACTTTAGAACAGGGGTTGGAAGAATCTAGCCCACAGGTCGGATACGGCATGCTGATCTAATCGCTGGCCTACCAGTGCCTTTAACAAATTGAAAAATATATGCCCTTGTTACACAGTAACTTAAATTTTCTTTATTCGGCTCTTCCTTTGGGAATGCCAGCTTAAAAATTCAGACTTTGTTCACTTTTCTACAAAAGAAAATAAACCCATTATGTCAGTGTTAAACATAAACCTGAAACTGTTCTTGCATTTTGCCAACATTTGGTCACACAAGGCTGATTTCAAGCCACTACCACTACTTTTAATGTTTAAACTGATTATGTTTAAAAAAATTCCAAGTGGACTCACTGAACTCCAAAAGGTGTCTTTGTTTGACTTTTATAATACAGTACTGTAATTCATAATTTACTGTTTCAGGGAACAGGAAGCTAGAGTGCATTCATACACGTTAGGCTTTTATCGAGGTCCCCCCCTCTCCCCAGGGTCAAGTTACTGATCTCACTCAGGATGCAACCCTACAATAAGCTAACTCCCGAGTATCTACTTGCTACTAGGTGAACAGAGGCATTAGGTGAAAGAAAATGTGCCCAACCAATTCTGCCCCGCCCGAGATTCGAACCCGGAATTCTTGATTGTGCGTTGAGAACGAACCCGACTGTACTACCAGGACTCTAAAAGAGTACAGAGTGCCCAACCTTGAAGGCTACAAAAGAGGCAATCTTACTGAAGATAAGCAAACTTCAAAATGTACCAAGATATAGACATGTATTTCCTCAAGAGGGACATGACAAAAAATGGTAGAGGTGCAGGAAGAGAGAAGGGAATGGGAAAATCAGTCTCCAACTCAACAATTTGAGAGGAAACTGAGGGAACCCTTGACCAGCAAATCAACCTCCAAAGAGAAGTGCAACAGAAGTCTAAACCACCCATCTTTCCCCCTTTCCAGGAAGCTGCCTCCCTTATACATCACCCCAACCTCCTGACCCATAGTGGGCCCTCCCCCTCTGACCATAAGGGGGCCAGAGAAGACATTTCCTCTCTGGCCCACTTAGCAGGTACATACTAACTTCACTCCCTAAACATCCAGGTAACTTAAAATAAAAACTAAACCTGCACTCCCTAAACCCACAATTTCATATCCAGCCCAACTCGCCAAAATACTTCCTCCACACCCTAAGACAACTTACTCCCATCTACATGCCTAACTATTCTCTCCCCTCTGCTTAACTCATATCCAGCCCTGATCAGTCACCTCACCATGGTATAATCCGAGTAAGTGAGAATGGACAGAAGAAAGTGAGCATCAAATGTACACAAATATATATATGGGATTACAAATTAAGTAAACTTGGGAAAAGGTGACAATGAAAAATGAGAGATGTAATTGCACTTATAAACTAAATTATCACATGTCATAACTAAAGTAGTATTCCTTCAGGACTCCCATATAGTAAGGTAAGAGAGAAGGGAAAGAGGAATGGCCCTGTTGATAAAAAGAGGACTGGAGTTCCAGAGAGATGGTAATCCTGAGCTGTAAAGGTCTCGGCAACTATACAGCGGCACCAGAAGAATGGGAAATCAAAGATAGTAGCAGTGATATATCTGCTCCATGAAATGACAAGATCCAGAAACATGGCAACTAAAGTATTACTATAATATAAAGGGCAGTTTCTGTTGTATGTAGGAATGTAAGAGACTGGGAGAACATAAAACTCCATAGTGGCATAGCTACATGGAACTCACCTTGTGGTTACCTTGTGATGGATTCGGGGCTTAGTGCCCTCGCGGCCCGGTCCTCACCCAGGCCTCCTCATTGCTGGACTGGTCAACCAGGCTGCTGGACACAGCTGCTCACAGCCTGGTTGAACAGGTATCCCTTGGAGGCGTTTATCGAGTTCTCTCTTGAACACTGAGAGGGTCGGCCAGTTATACCGCTTACGTGTAAAGGAAGCGTGTTGAACAATCTCAGGCCTCTGATGTTGATGGAGTTCTCTCTCCGAGTACCTACTGCACCTCTGCTTTTCAACGGGGGTATTCTGTACATCCTGCCATGCCTTCTGGTCTCATGTGATGTTATTTCTGTGTGCAGATTTGAAACCAGTCCCTTTACTATTTTCCATGTGTAAACTAATATGTATCTCTCCCGCCTGCATTCAATAGAATACAGATTTAGGCATTTTAGTCAGTCCCAATAGTTTAGTAGTTTAGATGTTTTACTGAATGAATTCTAGCAGTAAAGGATCTCTGCATGTTCTCCAGATCAACAATTTCTCTAGCTTTGAAAGGGGCTGTCATTGTGTAACAGTACTGTATTCCACTCTAAAGAGCACTAGCGTCTTGAAGAGTATCATCGTTGGTATAGCATCTCTAGTTTGAAAAGTTCTTGTTATCCAACCTGTCATTTTTTTGCAGTTGTGACAGATACTTTACTGTCCTCTTTAAAGGCAAGGTCTTCCGACATGAGTACACCAAAATCCTTTACATTGCTTTTTCGTTCTATGTTATGATTTTACTGTGTTTTGTACATGGGTTCTGTTTTTATATTTTTATTTTTTTCTGTAGTGCCGGAGCTGGAACTTATCTTCATTAAATATCATATTATTTTCTGTAGCCCATTGAAAGACCTGATTTACATCTGATTGGAGGTTTGCTGTGTTCTCTATGTTGTCTACTCATAAAAATCCTAGTGCCATCTGCAAAGGATGATACAGTACTATAGATTGTATCCTTGTCTATGTCTGATACGAGGATGACAAAAAGTACTGGAGCAAGCACAGTACCCTGGGGAACTGAGCTCTTCACGGTTGATGGGTCAGATTTTATTTTGTTGATTATTACACATTGGGTTCTGTAAGTCAGAAAATTGTACATCCATCCTCCTATTTTTCTGGTAATTCCTTTTGAATGCATTTTGTGTGCAATAACACCATCCCGAGGTTATCTTGAGATGATTTCGGGGCTTAGCGTCCTCACAGCCCAGTCCTCGACCAGGCCTCCTTTTTGTTTACACGCTCTCAGGAAGCAGCCTGTAGCAGTTGTCCAACTCCGAGGTACCTATTTACTGCTAGGTAACAGGGGCATCAGGGTGAAAGAAACATTTTGCCCATTTGTCTCAGCCTCCACCAGGTATCAAACCCGGAACCTCAGGACTACGAATCTGAAGCGCTGTCCACTCGGCTATCAGGCGCCCATGGTCACATTTGTCGAAGACTTTTATGAAATCTGTGTAAATTACATTAGCATTTGGCTTGTCTTCCATGGCATCCAAGGCCATGTCAAAGTGTTCCAGCAACTGTGATAGACAAGAGCATCCTGTTCTGAAGCCATGTTGTCCAGGGTTATGGAGATGCTGTGATTCTATCTACAGTATTTTGTGATCTTACTTCTTAGCACTCTTTT